TGGGGAATACCACCAAATTCCATTGGTTTTCATTGCAACTAGTTTTTTTTCCATAGTTCTACGACACCGGTCGTGGGGGGTACCCTTCGGTGAGCCTGAAAAACTCATTTTTTTAATGCAATATAAAAAGAAATTGATCATTTCGGGGGATCTGTCTTTTTTTTTGAAACGTTCTACTCTGATGTCAAAGTAGACGCTCAGAATCTTGAGTGGCGCCATCTATGTCGAATGCAGAATGCGGGGGATAGATGGCTCAACTGCCATTCAAAACAGGTCAGTTGCGCCATGTATCCCTAAAAATGACTAATTTTTTGCAATCTTCTGCGCTGTTTTCCCCCAGATGTTTTTTTTCTCAACATCAAGCTGCCTTTTTGGGACATAGATGGCGCAACTCCCACCCATTCGCCAAAATCAGGCTGGGAATGCCCACATAGATGGCGTAACTCCCTCATATCTCCCGACATCCATAAGCCAACCTGACCAAAATATGCCACATAGATGGCGCAACTCCCTCACATCCTGACATCCATAAATTATAAACCAACCTAACCAAAATATGCCACATAGACATCTCCACATAGATGGCGCAATTTTACGATTTCAATATATGCATTCTGATTATTTTTAGATGTATAATATTTACATACCGTGAACCCCCTGTTGTTGGCAGATATGTTTCTTATTTTTCATTTTTTTTCTAACGGATGTAGGGTTTAGGGTTAGACACGATATATTTTGATAGAAATGTTATTTTTCAACATATGTTGGCAAAAAAACAAAAAAATCCGGGATACTACAACGATAGGTCCTCAAACACTCTTTCTGGGGACCTATCGCCTGAGTCCTGGTGGTTTTGCCTCCTGTCTTGGGATAACTCTGATGTCTTTCCTGGCGGTTTTGCCTCCTGTCTTGGGATAACTCTGATGTCTTTTCTGGTGGTTTTGCCTCCTGTCTTGGGATAACTCTGATGTCTTTTTTGGTGGTTTTGCCTCCTGTCTTGGGATAACTCTGATGTCTTTCCTGGTGGTTTTGCCTCCTGTCTTGGGATAACTCTGATGTCTTTCCTGGTGGTTTTGCCTCCTGTCTTGGGATAACTCTGATGTCTTTCCTGGTGGTTTTGCCTCCTGTCTTAGGATAACTCTGCTGTCTTTCCTGGTGGTTTTGCCTCCTGTCTTGGGATAACTCTGATGTCTTTTTTGGTGGTTTTGCCTCCTGTCTTGGGATAACTCTGATGTCTTTCTTGGTGGTTTTGCCTCCTGTCTTAGGATAAATTTTGCCTCCTGTCTTGGGATAACTCTGATGTCTTTGCCTGGTGGTTTTGCCTCCTGTCTTGGGATAACTCTGATGTCTTTCCTGGTGGTTTTGCCTCCTGTCTTGGGATAACTCTGATGTCTTTCCTGGTGGTTTTGCCTCCTGTCTTAGGAATTGGCGGAACTCGTTTTATGTTCCAGCTAAAATAGCTCTGTTTTCTTTCTCACCGCGCGGTGCCATCTTGTGGGCATTTTGGTTTCTGAGTTGAGCCATTTACTTTTAGGTCAGTGTAGTTTAGGAACTTCAAACATCCAGGGTTGCTACTCCCCAAAGGGAATTACATGGAATTACGTATATGATATATACCCTGAAATGGAAGAGACCCAATTTCTTGCAGAACTACATACATAGAATATAGGTCCCCAGTGAAAATACTCATCAGCTTTTGAGGAACACCACCCAATTCCATTGGTTTTCATTGGAAAATAGTTTTTTTTTCATAGTTCTACGACACCGGTCGTGGGGGGTACCCTTCGGTGAGCCTGAAAAACTCATTTTTTTAATGCAATATAAAAAGAAATTGATCATTTCGGGGGATCTGTCTTTTTTTTTGAAACGTTCTAGTTTAGGAACTTCAGACATCCAGGGTTGCTACTCCCCAAAGGGAATTACGTATATGATATATACCCTTATACATGGAAGAGACCCATTCCTTGAAGAATTACTTACATAGAATTTAGGTCCGCAGTGAAAATATTCATCAATTTTTAGAGGAACACCACCCAATTCCATTTGTTTTCATTGCAAAATATGTTTTTTTTCATAGTTCACCCCGCGATTGCCCCAGCAAAACGCGTCGCAACACACTTTCCATGCTGAAATCGCAGTTGTCCCTTTGCGGAACTGGTTTGAATCACAGGCGGCTGCAGCAATCCATGTTTCTGTCAAAAACCTGAAAAGATTTATTTTCCTGGATCAAAATGGATAGCCGGAAATATTCTATGTATATGTTGTTTTTTTCCGATTCCGGAAGATGTTTTTATTCTATGTATAGGTGTTTTTACCGATTCCGGGAGATGTTGTTGAGGCCGAAATTATCGATTTTGTATTCTATGTATCCCATCGGGATTATATAATATATTATATGTACTCACAAGTTTTTGCACATATTTGTACAACTTGAAGGGGAAAGCGTTCTAACTGCTAAAATGCTGGTTAAAACAATGTCAAAGGGAACCGTTCTATTTGCGGAAATGCTGGTAGAAAACAATTTCAAGGTGAAACATTCCAACTGCTGAAATGCTTGTGTAAAAAACAACTTGAAGGGGGAAACATTCAAACTGCTGAAAGACCGGTAAAAAACAAGTTCAAGGGGGAAGCGTTCTAATTGCTGAAATGCTGGTAGAAAAACAATTGCAAGGGAGAAACATTCTAACTGCTGAAAAGCTGGTAAAAAACAATTTCAAGGGGGAAGCATTCTAACTGATGAAATGCTGGTAAAAAAACATTTCAAGGGGGTAAGCATTCTAACTGCTGAAATGCTGGTAAAAAGTAATTTCAACGGGAAAACATTCTAACTGCTGAAATGCTTGTGTAAAAGCAACTTCAAGGGGGAAGCATTCTAACTGATGAAATGCTGGTAAAAAGCCATTTCAAGGGGGAACATTCTAACTGATGAAATGCTTGTGTAAAAAACAACTTCAAGGGGGAAGCATTCAAACTGCTGAAATGCTGGGAAGCATTCTACCTGCTGAAATGCTGGCAAAAACAATTTCAAGGGGGAAGCGTTCTAATTGCTGAAATGTTGGTAGAAAGCAATTTCAAGGGGGAAGCATTCTAACTGCTGAAATGCTTGTAAAAAACAATTTCAAGGGGAAAGCATTCTAACCGCTGAAAAGCTGGTAAAAAGCCGTTTCAAGGGGGAAGCATTCTAACTTCTGAAATGCTGGTAAAACACCTTTTCAAGGGGGGAAGCATGCTAACTGCTGAAATACTGGTAAAAAACAATTTCAAGAAAAGCATTCTAATTGCTGAAATGCTGGTAGAAAAGCCATTTCAAGGGAGAAACATTCTAACTGCTGAAATGCTTGTGTAAAAGCAACTTCAAGGAGGAAGCATTCTAACTGATGAAATGCTGGTAAAAAGCCATTTCAAGGGGGAAACATTCTAACTGATGAAATGCTTGTGTAAAAAACAACTTCAAGGGGGAAGCATTCTAACTGCTGAAATGCTGGGAAGCATTCTACCTGCTGAAATGCTGGCAAAAGCAATTTCAAGGGGGAAGCGTTCTAATTGCTGAAATGCTGGTCGAAAGCAATTTCAAGGGGGAAGCGTTCTAATTGCTGAAATGCTGGTAGAAAGCAATTTCAAATGGGAAACATTCTATTCTAACTGCTGAAATGCTTGTGTGAAAGCAATTTCAACGGGGAAGCATTCTAGCTGCTGAAAAGCTGGTTGAAAAAAATTCAAGGGGGAAGCATTCTAACTGATGAAATGCTGGTTAAAAAACATTTCAAGGGGGGAAGCATTCTAACTGCTGAAAGGCTGGTAAAAAGCAATTTCAAGGGGGAAGCATTCTAACTGATGAAATAATGGTAAAAAACAATTTCAAGAAAAGCATTCTAATTGCTGAAATGCTGGTTTAAAAAACAATTTCAAGGGGGTAAGCATTCTAACGGCTGAAATGCTGGGAAGCATTCTAACTGCTGAAATGCTGGCAAAAGCAACTTCAAGGGGGAAGCGTTCATTGCAGGAATGCTGGTAGAAAGCAATTTCAAGGGGGAAGCATTCTAACTGCTGAAATGCTTGTGTAAAAAACAATATGAAGGGGAAACATTCTAACAGCTGAAAGGCTGGTAAAAAGCAATTTCCAGGGGGGAAGCATTCCAACTGCTGAAATGCTGGGAAGCATTCTACCTGCTGAAATGCTGGCAAAAACAATTTCAAGGGGGAAGCGTTCTAATTGCTGAAATGTTGGTAGAAAGCAATTTCAAGGGGGAAGCATTCTAACTGCTGAAATGCTTGTAAAAAACAATTTCAAGGGGAAAGCATTCTAACCGCTGAAAAGCTGGTAAAAAGCCGTTTCAAGGGGGAAGCATTCTAACTTCTGAAATGCTGGTAAAAAACCTTTTCAAGGGGGGAAGCATGCTAACTGCTGAAATACTGGTAAAAAACAATTTCAAGAAAAGCATTCTAATTGCTGAAATGCTGGCAAAAAGCCATTTCAAGGGAGAAACATTCTAACCGCTGAAATGCTTGTGTAAAAGCAACTTCAAGGGGGAAGCATTCTAACCGATGAAATGCTGGTAGAAAGCCATTTCAAGGGGGAACATTCTAACTGCTGAAATGCTGGCAAAGCAATTTCAAGGGGGAAGCGTTCTAATTGCTGAAATGCTGGTAGAAAGCAATTTCAAGGGGGAAGCGTTCTAACTGCATTCTAACATCTGATGATATTCATAGTGCGAAGGCATTCTAAGTGAGGGATTTGTGCAAAGGGTTCTCCAAAAACAAAAAAACTTAAAACCCGGGTGGGGAGGCATTCTAACTGAAGGATTTTTTGCCGTGCGCGGGCCGCATTCTAACTGAGGGGGAGGAATATTTGGAATTCGCGGAGGCATTCTAACTTTCATTTTAACGGTATATATATATACAGGTATAGATACTGTACTTTCACATTTTTTAATACTTTTAATGTTGTTTTCAACATTTCTTCCCGCTTCCAGTCGTTCATTAAGACTCGACTCAGGCACCGCGACGACCACCAATGAGATAACAACGGAACAGCACCTGAGCAGCACTGATGTTCGAAAATGTTTAGGACAACTCTGACCTCGATATGTATTGATGATAAGAAAAGATAAACTGATGTAACAAATGACTAGGGTTGTTTCCTTCATTTTTCCATCACGACCACCAAATGAATCCAAACGAAACAGGCTGCGAGTTGTTCATTGGTGAACTGAAGAAGTGTGGCTGTAATGGCTCTAAGATGGCAACTTCCAAAAATTCAATGCTACTTGCCTTACTGCTTGATGATGTTCTATCTGCCGGTCAAGGCTTCATGAAAGCTTGGAACAACATGTTTGTCGGAACGGATGCAAACACACTGTAGAGCCATGCAATGTCATGCAATACCTTCAGTCAGGATTCATGTTTCACATCACGGCTGCTAAATACATCATCATCGAATCATATGTATTCCAAACATCATATTCCTAAACCTCCGTCTTGGTCCCTTTTTGCTAATCATAACTCTACTAGCTGGCATCAGCTATGATATCATATGTGCCATTGATTCTTCACATCCAAGTGCACAAACTGTGTATCTCCGATGTGTGAATCGCCCTCATATCCTCGCGGCATAAAGGATAATGAGTATCAGCTTTGCTGGCGCGGCGCTACTGTGAATCGGCTGCATTGGATGAAACATGATGAAACAACTTGAGCTGGTTGAATTGGTCGGTTTGAATTAGCCAAATTGGTGACCCCCAGAAAGGTTGAAAAGTGAAGTGTTTTGCCTACAAAAATGTAACTACCATAAATAATCTGCCAGAAACTGTGTGTTTTTGATTAGATTAGGCTTTCGCACTCTTGACACCGAAACTGACCTTCTTGGTGCAGACTCCGCTGAGTTTCAACGGTGAATTCTTTTTCTTTCTGATCACAGTCATGGCGCTTTCTTTTTGTGACTGTTACCGTGGCAGAAAATTATTGGCTACCCTAACCAGATGGTTTATGTAACCCCAGCGCATTAAATTGCACGGACCCAATTAGGGGAAGCGATTATTCCAGTTCTAAGCTATGCCCAACATGGTGTGAAAAACACTTACACATCTTGCATGGCAATCTTGCTTATTTTAATCGGAAAAGTTGGTAAGTAAGGGGAATTGTCCCCAAGTGACTTTATTTTACATTGGCAAATTATATATCATAATTCAGCCAGATTCCAACAGTAATTTCACCCCAATTTGACCTATATATTTCATGAGAAAGAGACGGACAAATGATTTTCATTGCCATGGATGTTTATAGATTTTTATGGATTTCCATGGGCTTTCATAGATTTTTAAAGATTTTCATGCATTTTCATAGATGCTCAAAGTTGCATAGATTTGCATGGATGGTTTAAAGATTTTCATGAACTTTCATTGATCTTCAACTATTTTCATAGGTTTTAACGGATTTTCATGGATTTTTGTCTGTATCTTACCTTTAAACGATCCTTTGAGGTTCGCTCTCCTGGTCCATTCCTTGATGTTCCGCGCCTCCTACCGCATCGACCTACTGATGGCGGCGAACCTGGCTCCATGCCTTGGCCAGGCGACGAAGTGAACGAGAAAGACATCAAATTGATACAGATTGATTATGATCAATGATAGATTCATGATAAATGTGAATTAATGATGATTAATGATGATTGATTATGATCAATGATAGATTCATGATAAATGTGAATTAATGATGATTAATGATGATTGATTATGATCAATGATAGATTCATGATAAATGTGAATTAATGATGATTAATGATGATTGATTACGATCAATGATAGATTCATGATAAATGTGAATTAATGATGATTAATGATGATTGATTATGATCAATGATAGATTCATGATAAATGTGAATTAATGATGATTAATGATGATTAATGATGATTGATTATGATCAATGATAGATTCATGATAAATGTGAATTAATGATGATTAATGATGATTGATTATGATCAATGATAGATTCATGATCAATGTGAATTAATGATGATTAATGATGATTGATTATGATCAATGATAGATTCATGATAAATGTGAATTAATGATGATTAATGATGATTAATTATGACCAATGATAGATTCATGATAAATGTGAATTAATGATGATTAATGATGATAAATGATGATTAATTATGATCAATGATAGATTTATGATAAATGTGAATTAATGATGATTAATGATGATTAATGATGATTAATTATGACCAATGATAGATTCATGATAGATGTGGATAAATGATGATTAATGATGATTAATTATGACCAATGATAGATTAATGATAAGTGCGGATTAATGTTTATTAATGATGATAAATGATGATTAATTATGATCAATGATAGATTTATGATAAATGTGAATTAATGATGATTAATGATGATTAATGATGATTAATTATGACCAATGATAGATTTATGATAAATGTGGATTAATGATGATTAATGATGATTAATTTTGGCCAATGATAGATTCATGATAAATGTGAATTAATGATGATTAATGATGATTGATTATGATCAATGATAGATTCATGATAAATGTGAATTAATGATGATTAATGATGATTGATTACGATCAATGATAGGTTCATGATAAATGTGAATTAATGATGATTAATGATGATTGATTATGATCAATGATAGATTAACGATAAATGTGGATTAATGATGATCAATGATGATCAATTATGACCATTGATAGATTAACGATAAATGTAGATTAATGATGGTAATGATAAATGTAGATTAATGACGATTATTTATGATCAATGAGCGATTGACGATAAATGTATATAGATTAATGATGATTAATGGTGATTAATTATGACCAATTATAGATTAGTGATAAATGTGGATTAATGATGATTAATGATGATTAATTATAACCAATTATAGATTTATGATAAATGATGATTAATGATGATTAATTATGACCAATGATAGATTGATGATAAATGTGGATTAATGATGATGAATGATGATTAATTATGACCATTGATAGATTAACGACAAATGTGGATTAATGATGATGAATGATGATTAATGATGATTAATGATGATCAATTATGATCAATGATCCGTTAACGATAAAATGTAGATTAATGATGGTTAATGATAAATGTAGATTAATGATGATTATTCATGATCAATGATCGATTAACGATAAATGTAGATTAATGATGGTTAGTGATTAATGTAGATTAATGATGATTAATTATCATCAATGATATATTAATGATAACTGTAGATTAATGATGATTAATTTTTGGGCAATGATAAATTGATGATAAATGTAGAATAATGATGATTAATGATGATTAATTATGATCAATTATGATAAATGATAGGTTAATGATGATTAATTATGATCAATGATAGATTAATTTTGATTAATGTAGATCTATAGGTCAATTGAATTAAACTCAATCTCGCCAAACAAAATATCAGATTGCAAATCATCACATCACTACTTCAATATGCACTCACGATTGGGGGAGCATTGGCCAGGCCACCTTCTCAAGGATTGCAACTCCGGTGCAGTAGCCTGGCACGGGGGATTTGCTGGATGGTTTCATGGAACTTCCCTTCTATTCTGGATGATTTAGGGGTACCCCCATTGTAGGAAACCTTCATTTTGGATCTGAATAGTGATATTTGTTTGAAGGATTTTCACAGGCACATTTGGATCGAGACTCGGCAAACCCAATGATGAGAAAACAACACTGCGGGATTGTTTAGACAAGCTATTTCTGGCGAAAGGTGTTTTTTTTTTTTTAAGTAGCACGCTTATATATTAACTATATTCAAGTATGAAGGATTCCATCGACAGCAAGGTCCTTCTTGAATGTGCATCCCAGTTGGTCTGCAGGTGCCAACCCTTACGCTGTTGTGGAAGCACATCTGACCCTTCAAACCATTCTACAGACCCACTTAGCACTTAGGACCTAGGATTCACATCCAAGCAATATCCACAGTATATTTCTGATAAATCATGGATGGATTTTCCATGATTCTCCAATATTTCCAGCCTTACGATCACACATATATTTCCATATGTATGTTCTACTCGCAAAGGTGACCCTCCCCATAGATGGTCAAGATTCACCCTTCACAAAGCCAAACTTTGTAGGGAGGGGTCAGCTTTGGGCGGCTTGGCTGAAATGGATATCAACCAGTTGTCAACCATATTGACTGCATTATTGGGCATGTTGCATGTTGCTTTCATCTTATATCCCAAAATGATATCCCCATGGAGCCCTTTTTTAGTTCTGATATTCCCAGGATATTCATCCCAAAAAAAACCATGGTTAGTTACATCCTAAGGTGGATGATGCTCTTCACTTTGGTGATGCCTGTGGGGCTCACCGCTGTGGCAGCACAGCAAGTGGCCGACGAGTCCTGGCGTCTGGCGTCGTTGGGCAGCCTCGTTGCCGCTGGGACGAAGGTATGGGGTACCCCCAAATCCTGAAACAAAATGGATGACCAATTTAGCATTGAAGCATATTTTTCGACCCATGGTGACTTGGGATGCACCATTTCAAGTGCCATTTCCGAAAATATCAGCGGAACCCCCCTGAGATGCACAAAAATTGGGCGTGACTGGTTGAGAGTTTACGTTTTAGCTATTTCTCTACTTGTCGAATTCCGTCAGCCCACTAGAGTCCACATGGTTCCACACATACGGATGACCAGGGCCCTAGGTACCTAGGTGGCCAAACCAAAAAAGTGCATACTGTAGGGCCTTGGGTATTCCCATAGTTTCGATGATTTTTTTCCATGCTATTTTTCTGGAGGCCACTACACCGTCCAACCCTCCCACCGTCCCAAGGCAGCCACTATCTACTTCGGTAGCCTGGCTTTGGGCCGTGCCATCGTGGATTCCTTTCAGTTCAGCTGGGTGGCATGCGGCCTTGCTACGCCACTTCGCCCTGGTGGTCACAGATTTTGGGCTATTTTGCTTGGGATTTACATGATTTTACACTTACTATGTCTACATTGAGGTCGCAAAGACGCGCTGTATTTGAAATTCACAAACCGCAGCCACTTGCGGCCCTCTGTATACCTATATTATACATTATTATACATTATTATACTATAAAGATATCTCCAGATTTTGGGGTAATTTTGGCCCCAGATATGTGTTTAGACAATGTTAGGCACAAGTGTGTGACTTGGTATTATTTTGTCTGGCTCTGTGGTATATGACACACACATAAATCGAGAAAGAAAAAGAACATCATGATTAAAACAGGTGGATTTTGGCGGTAGATCATTCTGGGACAGACCCATGTCATCATATTACTCGTATAATTTGGTATATGAAACGCCAGATGTTTTGAGTTGTTCGAGCTGTGGTACATGATTAGACGATACCAGACGCCAGATGTTGTAAGTTTATGTAAGTAAGTTTGTGTTTGAGATAAAGAAGGTGCCGCCGGCTCATTCGGACTGGACATCTCAGTTTTGGTGTGCCATGTGAACCGAATCGAGTCCTATTCGGACCAAGGTTGACATTCTTCACTTTCGGTGGTTTCTTCTGCCAGTTTGTTTGGGTGGTTGAGCCTTTCAACTTCACGGCTACCTCAGTGTCTCAGCTTAGTTAAACTGTTCCTCAGTGCCAAAAGAACATTACAAGCATATACGGACGGTATGGGCCCACAAATTGCGGATATTTTATGATATTTTGGTCTTGAAAAGCAGCCGCGGGGCTGGGCTTGATCTGTGAGTTCTCTTGGGGTTTGATGAAAGCTCTTGGCGGCCTAGAGAGATCTAGAGAGTCTAGGTGGTGATGCTGACGGTCAGCGCAGTTCCAAGCATTGTGTTGGCCTTCCTCTTTGGCCGCTGGCAGAGTAGTCGCCATGTCCTGGGTGTTCTTGCAGACGAGGCCGATGCCAGTGGGCGGAAGGTGAAGCTGTTTCACATGAAATGTGGTTATTTATGAAATGAATAAGGGCCCAGGTGGCAAAGAAAATCTACCAACAGCTTTTTGGGAGGCTGGATATTTCTTTAACAGGTGTTCAGATGTCAGGGGTGTTTTGCTATGTTCAGAAAGCCTAAGAAGAAGGATGTTGGCACGCCATGCAAGCCTGCTTCGCTTTCGATATGCAGGAACAACTGCGTCCTGCGCATCTTGGACATGCAAAAGATAAAGAGGAAATTGTTGACTCTGGTTCATGAGATTGCCTAAAGTACATCAACACCAACATGTATCTCCCAATTAAAAAGTGACAAAAGCCCGGCTTAAATACATTATAAATAATACATTGACGGCGGCAAAGAGTTTTGATTTCTGGATGTTCACCTGGGATGGCAGACTGATATGAATGTTTGTCCCGTAAGGTCAGCTCTTCCACAAAGCAAATGCAAGAGAATCTGTTTGATCCTCTCCCTGTTCTTGGTTGAGCTTGGCATTCTTGGTGTCTATGGCCATGACCTCAATCCGACCTTGGCTTCAATGGAATTTCGCAAAGTCAAGAGACAAGCATGAGCACATGACAAGGAATACAAAGGGAAGGAAGCATAAGGAAACATGCAGTGGGATCAGGTGCCAAATGCAGATGAAAGCATCAGTAGCGCAACCCAACACCTTGCCCTTGGCGCTTTGCTCAAAGAGCACCACTGAGGCTTGGCAGTCTACATGCTCGAAACGCGCAAAGAGGTGAAAAATGTTGGCTTTTTGTTGGTGATCGGCGTGGTGATCTTGGACGCAATGGTTTCAGCCTCAGTATGCCTCAGTAATGACCAGCGACATTCACGTCCGACGTGCACATTCGCAAAACGTTTTAGTCTTCTCGTATGGATGGACCTGTATGGATCTGGCACCATTGGTCACTCATCAAACTTGGATGGCTCAATTTAATATGATCAGCGAGACATGTAAAGATCTATATTGTAATACTTGTTTCTTTCTCTCCCTCTCTCCCTCTCTCCCTCTCTCCCTCTCTCCCTCTCTCCCTCTCTCCCTCTCCCCTCTCCCTCCTCTCCCTCTCTCCCTCTCTCCCTCTTTCCCTCTCCCTCCCTCCCTCCCTCCTCCCTCCCTCCCTCTCTCTCTCTCTCCCCCATTCAAATTTTGGAACTCTTACATAATTCCGATAATTCCATTGAGACTATTGAATCTACTGAGAGAACGACTAGTTCCTCCAATCTTCAGACCAGAGTGAACCAAAGCCCCACTCCAGGTCTGGCAAGTTTGGTATCTGGGCCTGGTGACGGGTGCTGCCGAAACCGCCTTGCTTATGGTGCTGGCACGGGTGGCCGCCTGCGTTTGGGGAGAGAACTATTGGCTCATGGGCACCTTGGATGCCCATGACTTCGTCATCTGAAAACATGTTCTGTTCAAAGAGTTTCCCTTGAAATCCCAAGGCAGTCGGTGTTTGGGTTCAACTTTGATCTTGAACTATGGCTGACTCATGCTGCGTCATTGAGGTCATTCGGGAGTCTTTCTTGCCATGGTCATATTGGTTGGCTACGTCACTGTGGACATGCTTGTTCCAGCTCCAGACAGTCCCAAGGCAAGCTTCTGAGCATGTCGAGCACATCATCGGACCCCCAAGAATCCACAATCTCGTGGTCATTCATCTCATACTAATGTCGAGCTTGGAAAATCCCAGGATTTTTTGGACTGATCCCATTTTCAAATCCCATTTCGCCGACAATTTCAAGTCACCGTTTCCCCCAGATTGCGTCAAGGGCACACCTACAGGAAATTTCCACAAGCAAAATGGGGAGATATGGGGAGGAACATGGAGGAACTATGCTTTTCCACATTCGATTTTCCCTTGATCCATGTCTTCCGAAGTTTTCCCGAGGTTTTTTCACGTTTTCCCCAGGTGCGGCGTCAGCGCGCAGCAGCGCAGATCCTGCAGACTTTGCAAGCCAAGATGGCGGGCGGCGGTGCTGCAGCTGGAGGTGGAAGTGAGAGCAGCACCAGCTACCATCAACCAACCAGTTGGGGACCATTTTACATCCCAGTCATAGGAGATCATAGGAGTATACCGTATACCATGCCCAAAACATCCCAGTGAACTACTTTCTTCGATCCCCACCAGCTGACATTCTATCTGGCATATATTCTGACATGGATGCTGACAGATATTCTGGCATTCTATCTGGCATTCTATCGATTTCTATCCGACATATATTCAATTCTTATATTCTATCTGACATATATGTTGCCATCAGGATCTGACATTTTATTTGGCATTCTGTCTTACTTTCTATCTGACATTTTTTCTGGGCATTCTTTCTGTCATTTCATCTAGCATTCTACCTGACATTCTATCTGACATCCTTTCTGGCATTCTATCTGACATATGTTCTAACTCAACATTCTATTTGGCATTCTATCAGGCATCCTATCTGACATATATTCTGACATTCTATCTGTCATTCTTTCTGACAGCCTACTTGGCATCTATTCTGGCATTCTTTCTGGATCTTTCTAGCATGTGTTCGGGCGCGTTGCGTGCCCAGACTGAGCCGGAGCTCCCTATGACGCGGTGGCTGCGGCTATTTGATGATTTTGATGCTGGTTGTGCTGTCGGTGCTGGTAGTAACCGATAAGGAATGAAAACAACTCCTGAAATGGCGAAATCTTCCGGGCATTGCCATCTCTGCAGGCGCGTCAGGTGCGGCAGATGGAGACGCAGAGCCGGAGGCTCCGGAGGTGGGCAGAGATGGGCTGATGCTTGGGCAGAGGACTTGGCAGGAAATAGCATAGGTATGTCTCAAAATGGGGAGCTCCAAAAGGAATAGCTCATAGATCTTATAGAACTTATAGGGAATATGATGATCCAGAGGATTTGGGGGTACCATATTTTCCGACAAACCCAAATGTTCCTGATGAGTTTTCATGTTCTTCTCGATGTTCAGGCACCTCCCGAACAGCCGAAGAAGAAGCTGCCCTGCTATCTTCATCCTGGGTGCCCCACCTGAAAGATGCTGAGTCGACTTCTTCTATTTATACATAGCTTCAATAAAACCAATCATCTTTTTGTCAAATTTATTCAAATTTAGAGGCATTGGATGCACAACTATTGGGTAAGGCTCAGGCACAGCAGAACTAAGGTGGCTCCTACTGGCTCTTCTGGTTCTATTTGCAGGTGAAGTGGCTCTTGTTACGATCCGATGCTAGGCACAAGTGTGCAGAATGTCATGCAGGTGCACACTCGCACTACCAATGCGGTTGTGTTTGAAACAACGGCAAGCAGTAGATGCTATCATGTTATCTCATCTGAAAGTATTTGCGAAAACAATGCCTAGAAAAGCGCAGTTTAGAATTTATAGGTGCATTTGGATTTTCCCATATTTCCCCCACAGTAATTTCTCTAACACCAACCACCATTGTCTCATTGACATTCCATGACTGTTTGCCCTGGACTAAGAATTCAAGCTACCGCTGATTTCGCTTTGCAATACCTGCGATGCCCGGGAGCAACAGTACTATGCAGGCCAGGCATCGGATTGTGTAGAGGAGGGAATGCCAAGATTATTCCAGCTTTTTTCCACAGTCCATGCAACTGGATCATATTGATGGATTACAACCCCGTTAAACTACTTTAAAATCTTTAAACTAACATACTTAAAAATATACTTTTGAAGGCTGAGTTTGAGCAAAGGGATCTCTTTTTCTTTGGAGACAGACTTTCCAAAGTATCACGAAATCTGCCTTCCATCTAGTGCCATGCATTGCCGAGGTGTGGCGCTGGGCATGGGTTTTGTTTTCACCTTGTCCTTCTTTGCCTTCCGGAAGTCCAAGTGCCAAGCAGTTGGGAAGAAAGGACCTCTCTTGGAAACGGCGCCCCTCTTCCTGGTGCCGCAGCGTCATTTCAGCGTATCATTTTCGGAATTTTCAGGACACGATGTGACCATGTGAGTGATGTGGTGACCTCTCGTGACCGCGTGTGCTCAAGGTGTTGGCATATGCTGGGTGGTTGGCAGTTGCTGCTTACACCAGCTGGGTCGTTGATAGCTGGGCAGTGACTTGGCTCTGAAGCTCCAACCATGAAAGCTTCAGGACATTCAGACTGTCCCCACATATTCCCAGCACCAGGCCACAAATTGGGGGATGGTAACGGGGTAAACATCCTGAAACCATCAACCATTAAAATCAGTCATCAACTCAGCAATCATTTAAAGGGAATTATTGCCATGAGCCAGGATGAGCCAGGGTAACATTACTGTAGGTTCATCCCAGGTTATTACCAGGGTCCATTCTACAACCATCAGAATCATAAGCGCCAACATCATCAACCAATTTTGGGGTGATCTGATAAGCCCACCATTTTTTTAACGGAAAGGCCTGTTGTGAGCGGTGAATTTCAAGCTTTTGGGGTAGACATTCAATGCAGAAATCCACATACACACAACAATTCCTTCCATATGTAGGGTCAAACAGTCTGTTCTGACTGTCGGCTACCACACGTCTCTTCACAAAACCATGTGTTTGGCACTGCAACACTATGTTCTGTCTCACTTCCACAACAGATTAATCCAGATTGACAATGATTAATCCAAACCAAAAAAAAACAACAAAAAGAACAAACCCACCAATGTTTCCACAACTACTCTGACCTCTGGACTAATTGCCAAATCTTTGTGTCTTTTTGGTTTTCTCAAGGTTTTGGTCTGATCCTGATTAATCTGGATTAATCCTGAATAATCCAGATCAGAACCTTCTACTTCATGACTCCGGCACTTAGTTCCGGCCTTCCTTCCCCCAAATTAGGATAAAATCAGATGCTCAGAGAGCAATTGTGTATTTCATCTAGCTTTCTGAAAGGTTTGGCACTTTCCAAAGAATGCCGCAACAATCGAAACAAAATCAAGCAAACAAAGTGCACTTAGGATATGGGTTCAGCATTTTTTTTCATACAATCACCCAACATCTATGAATCCAAGTCTTATTTTTTTAAGAACGTGATATTCCATAAAGAGAGCGCGGCCTTACTTTGCGCATTCCCTTTGAAGTACCGCAATTTCCGTTTGAAAAGAGTGCAGTAATATTTTGAAAAAGACATTCAACACATACAGGATTGCATAGAAAGCATGAAGCCTTCTACTGACAGATTCCAACACCATTTCAAATTCAGTTTCATTTATATATGCGGTGATCTGTTCTAGTGATCATGGGATTCTTTGAAGAGAACTTGTCTTAACTATCTGGAATATGTCCCTTCAAGAAAATGCATCATCTATTTGAAAAAGGTGCAATATTCCCTCAAACATTAAACCCTCATTTCAAATTTCAAGATGGGGTTCTTTTGTGTATAGGGGGATCTTTTATCAAGGGTCCCTTTATCAAAAGAGTATGGTATTTCTTGAAGAATGTGTAAAACATATTCTTTGTTCTTCAAATAATATAACCTCCCCGAGTGAGATACAATATTATCTTAAGACAATGGCACTTTATTCCAAAATGTACTGTAATCCTTTTGCATATGCAGCACTCTTTCTGAAATGATATGGAATTCCTTTGGAACTTCAGGCATTATTTTTGGGAGTGCCCTCTGCAAAATGATCGGCACAATTGATTAAGAAGAATGTACAATTCTATCTTATCAGATAAAAGAAATACGTCCCCTAGAGAAAGAGCTGGTCTCAAGAATGCAACAAACAAGGAAGACTGAACCTTTCCAATAGGAATACTACATGCGTCAAGACAATTATTGTCTATTTTTGCTGGAACATGGCTTCTTTGGCCCAAAGAATGCCATATTGTCTGATAGAATAAGTGCAATTTGTAAGCAATATAGTCATCCATACAGGATTTTCAGGGAATATTGTGTTGATGCATTGCACTTTTTGGCATAGATTCTGCATACTAAAATTACTAAAACAGTGGCTGCAAGTTGAAAAGCACGCTACATATGGTGCAGAATTATTGCCTATCATTTGGAGGAAAAGTGCCCTTTTTCAAAAGGAATGCTGCATCTTTCAAAGGATTCCTCCATAATTTGTGTAGGGGTATTGCGTGTTGAAAAAAAGCATTTAATTTTCTCAAAGGAAAATTGCAAAAGACTGACAAATGCTTCTTTGCAAGCAGGGGAGGCTTCATTGTTGCATTTGATATTACATTTAGAATGCATTTAGAACAGGAGTGTAATATGTTAAATTCATGCTACATACAGAAACATTTATATTCCCTGCCAAGGAAGGCTGTACTTCGAGGGAAATCCTGCATTTTTGAGAAAAAACACGTGATATTTTGCAAGGGATAGTGGAAAGGTTCATGCAATATCAATGGTACTAAGGTTCAAATTATTTCAATATTTATTCCTGAATTGTGTGTATTTAAAATGATCCTTTACCTTCTGACTCTGAGGTATCTACTACATTGCATTCAATAAGGGCAACACAATTCACACAGTGACTTTTAAACAAAAAATATGGCTTTGCATGGAGATTGCATGGAACTAAATTACACGCAAGAGCTTCTTAATGAACACCTGACCTTCTGGTTTGTTGGCATTTTTTTGTACAATAGTTGGGTGGAAAGTATGTGCTTCAAAGTGCAATCTGTTCATGTCTGGATTATTTTTATTTAGGATTTGCAAAAAATGCAATTTTCTGCCGCTCACCACAGGCCCCTCCCTTTTTTAAATACAAGAAAGAAGCGATGGAAAAACACATCTTCCATGAAAGTACCAGCCACAGGTCCTGGTGCACGTTGGCTTTCTGCCGCTGATCATTGGGCTTTTCTTCTCGGCGCACCATCGATGGGTGGTGGATGATTTCTACCTGGGCCCTCCGAGGCGGGATATGGATGCACTTTTTTAGATTCAGCATCCCATGGTCATTGGTGGATGAATGATCCATAGATATCATAGATTCTGAAATAATTTGGAGAATTCACAAGCTACTTGTACATCTTGTAAAATCACCATGGTTTTGCCATGATTGTGCCAGTATCTGCAGGAAATCCAGCGATCCCAAAATGGCCCGCGTGGTGCCCGCCGCCGACGCCGCTGACGCTGCCGACGCCGCCGACACCGCTGCTGATGCCACCGATGCTGCGGATGGCGCGGGGACCGATGCTGCGGCGGGCGACGCCGAAGCAGCTGAGCCGGCAGGCCATCAGGAAAAGCATGGAGGTTTCCTAAGTCATGGAGGTACCCCCAGTTATCATCCATTAAAAATAGGATTTGCATGGGTTTTCATTAAAAAAAATTGGAAATAAACCCTTCAGCTATTGGGGTACCCCCATGACTTTGGACACCAGCAGATATTCAATTTGGAAAACGGGGAGTGAACGAGGAAGAATGATGAAAGAAATGAAAAATTATGAACAATGTTGAATTAAATTGAATTAATGGATGTTAGATTTTAAGATACGATTATATATAATAAACCGCAAAATAAACAATTCCCATTGAGGTTTATTGTTCTTTATGCCCCCATTGGGTATCATGGGGGATGATGGGTTTACCACAGGGAGGAACCATGATGAACACCGAGGAACCATTCAAAGCCATTCGAGACCTGTGTCATATTTTGGGGATGAACATTTGCATGAAGACCCATTTATCAGCTATTGTGAACTATTGTGATGTTTTCCAGTGTGCCAGGATTTTGACCCATGGCAAAGTATATATCAATGCTTGTAACCATTAATGGACTATACTGGACCCTATCAATAGACATATCTGCGATTTAATTTCATTGAGAAACATTTGCAGCCGTTTAGGTTTTCATGGAATCTGAACACTGGGGCCTTGTAGGGTTCCATTACAGTATGATCAGTATGCCTTTGTAATTGATAATTAACTCCTCCATATTATTCCCTTTTATATATGCAAGATTTAAAATAGATTTAAGGGATATGACATTATGATATACGCTGGGAGTTGAGGCCTATGTGACAACAAATCCAGGTTTGAAGAGCTGCACCGTCTTGGCACTTTTCATATTTGAAGACGAATTCATCCCTTTGTGGGTTGCCATTGGGGTTCCCAATTTTGAATCACAGGAGCGGACGAGTAGATATTACACACCAATAACAGGCACTCTTTTTCGTGCCATGCGACATTTTTTCGGATGCCACTGCCACATCCTATTTGGAAGATCCCGAAATTCCTCGAAATTCCAAACCGCATGAGAATTCCCCCGAACTCATTCCAGGCATTTCCAGGCCATGGAACCCAGGGTCAGGGACCAAACCCACATCCTGCCATGCTGTCGGCGAAGGTGCACCTGAGGCGTCAGAAGAGCAGGACTGGTGGTTGAGATTCACCCAAGACGGCCCAAACACTGCCGGGAAGGGTCACCAAATATGTCACATTATGTCACCATTGAAGTGTTCAAGTGTTGTCTCTCTTGTGCTGCCCGATTTTTACTACTTAAAATCAGTGAATCCCTGTTGAAGAGGTGTCACAGGTCCTATCATGTCGAGATATGTCGAGTCTGGTCCAGTTTCAGCTGGATTACCCCCTACCATCGAACGCAGGGGAAGAATTGTTTGCAAAAGATCCCATGGACCGTGTGCATTTGGGTCCTGGTGCTCGTGCTGAACATTGCTTACGCCAGGGTCTTAGCCCTTGCCCGATTTCAGTTTGGGGTCCACTGAGCTTAAGAGAGTTCTGAGCGATTTCTCGGGCTTTTTGGTGTGCTTGAGGCCACGAAAATATCGTGAGATACGCTTTACTGTAACATTATAAAACGCGTTAAAGTACACTTTATAGAGCATTGGCATACATCTCAAAACTTTATGTTGTGCTTGGGGTGGTGCGCATGACGTGGTGCCCATCAAGGGTTCAAGAGTGTGTTTTCTCACCATTCTCCATCCCTTCTTCTCCCCCACTCGTATTTGTCAGTTGGGTTGGGATCATCTCATCTACCAAATAGCAACGTATAAATCAGGCTATAACATGCTAATTGGACCTAATTGGCCACTTACTTGATCTTACTTGTAGGTGAAACTGGATGAAACTGTGGTTTATCTGTATGTTGTTCATTTACCACGAGTCAGGTTTGAGGCTTCATGACCCGCTTGTTGACCATTCCATTTCTAGATCCATTTCTCCTTCGCTCCCAGGGTGGAGTTTTGCACGTCGTCTCTGAGATCCGTTTTCGCTGGGTCGGCTGGAGCATTGCTGCTGCGGTGCTTGTGCTGGCCCTTACCTTCATGAGCAATCGGTCACTTGGAGCAGCTTTGTTGGCTTATGATTCTTGCCGAACAGATTCAAGTGGAATTACGGGCATGTGTGTGTGTGTGTGCGTATACAGATGCACGTATTACAGTAGGTACTAGTAAGTAGTCAGGTAGGTATTTATATATACAGGTAGGTATTTATATATATATATATATATTTATATTTATATGTACATACATATAGGTGGGTAGGTACACAGGTAGTTAGGCAGGCAGATAGATAGGTAGGTCGATAGGTAGGTGGGTAGGCAGGTAGGTAGATAGGTAGCGAAGTAGCGAGGTAGGTAGGTAGGTAGACAGAAATAGAACGATATACTGTAGATAAACAGACTGACGGACAGATACATGAATGGATGGATGGATGGATGGCTGGATAATGAGATCGATAGATATAGATAGAAATCTAGATAGATATAGATAGAAATATAGATAGATATAGATAGATATAGATAAAAATATAGATAGATAAAGATAGGTAAAGCAGATAGATAGACCGACAGATAGATAAATAGATAGAGATAGATAGAGATAGATAGATAGAGATAGATAGACATAGATAGAGAGAGATAGAGGTAGATAGAGATAGATAGAGATAGATATAGATTGATAGAGATAGATGGAGATAGATAGATATAGAGCTAGATAGATATAGGTAGATTAAAATAAATAGAGAGAGATAGATAGAGATAGATCGACCGACCGACAGACAGACAGACAGACAGATAGATAGATAGACAGCTATGCATTGCGGTGACACCTGAGAACAAATCCAGAAGTTTGCTTCTCCTGGATTGTCACAGTAGAGGAGTTGATCTCGTCATTGTCCTGGCGGCTGGCTAAGGCTTTGGTTTGGTACCTTGCAGATTGACCGCGCGCAACCGATCTTGTGGGGATTTATCGTCGCTCTTCAGCAATGCTTTTCAATCTTTTGCAGAGAACATATGCGTTTGCTGCATAACATCCGCCTGCTGCATGGGGCGGCGATCAACGGGTATGGTATGTTTGGTAAGTTTAGTAGTTTGGTCCTATCGTTTGGAAATTTGGGCGAAGATGGGCGAGAGTGAGGTTCTGATCCTCGTGTCGTGGGCCCTCTTGGTGTGGTACTTTGAGGGTGGGTTAAAGGCACGGAAATCGGGCATATCAGCCGCGGAGCTGGTGGTCAATGTTGATTTGTCATGTTTGTCTGAAAATAGGTTACCCAATGGTTACCCAGTACCCGATATGGTCAATTTGTCAATCATGATTTTCCCGTATTTCACCCATAAAAGGGTATCCCCCATTTTCAGACAAAGCCAGATTTGACCCGTAAATATACTTTATTTCGCCGCAGTTGGACTACTTTGCCATCTCTCTCCTTGAAGTCGTGTTCCTCTACCCAGCGGTTTACGCGGTGTTCTTGGCGGTACAAGTACTGAGGGACAGCCAATGGAATCCAAAGGAGCGGGATGGAGCGGGTGAAAATCATGATGTGCTTGCAGAAGATGTCATTTGACGAGTCTGCATATAGCTAGAATTAGAATTGCATTCCAAATATGTTTCTTGTCCGGCCATGTATATATATAATTATATATATATACGTATATATACAATTACGTATGTATATATTTTTATATAATAAGGTTTCGGCTACAAACCGCCCCACGGGTTGACGTTGATTTCCTTATGCAGTTTTCGTGGCAGAAGCAAAATTTTGGAGATCTCTGTCTTCATTTTGCGTGGCAAGCGCAGCACTTCAGACGTGTCGCATTGCCTGCTCTACACTCCACACTCTACACTCCACCCTTTGCACTCCACACTCCACACTCTATATACACGCCACACTTTACACTCCACACTCTACACTTTACACTCCACACTACACTTTACACTCTACACTTTACACTCCTCACTCCACATTTTACACTCCACACTTTACACTGTACACTCCACACTCCACACTTTACACTCCTCACTCCACACTCTACACTTTACACTCCACACTTTACACTCCTCACTTTACATTCCACACTCTACACTCTACACTATACACTCTACACTTTACACTCTACACTTTACACTCCACACTCTACACTCCACACTTTACACTTCACACTCCACACTTTACACTCCCCACCCTACACTCCTCACTCCACACTCTGCACTTTACACTCCGCACTTTCAACTCCACACTCCACACTCCACACTCCACCGCGCTCGACACTTTACACACTCCGCACCGCTAACTCCACACTCCACACTTCACACTCCACACTTTACACTTTACAGCCTACACTCCACACTCCACACTTTACACTTTCCACTCCACACTTTACACTTGACACTTTACACTCCACACTCTACACAGTACACACGACACTCCCCCCTGCCCACTTTACACTTTAAACTTTACACTCCACACTTTACACTTCACACTCCACACTCCACACTCTACACTTTACACTCCACACTTTACACTTTACCCTCCACACATTACTCTCTACACTTTACACTCTACACTCCACACTCCACACTTTCCACTCCTCACTACATACTACACTTTACACTCCACACTTCACACTCTAGACTCCACACTCCACACTCCAGCACACTCTGCACTTTACACACTCTACACTTTACACACTCCACACTCCTCACTCCACACTTTACACCACACACTCCTCACTTTACACTCCACACTCCACACTCTACACTTTCCATTCCACGCTCCACACTCTACACTTTACACTCCACACTTTGCACTTCACACTCCTCTCTCCACCTTTTACACTCCACACTCTACACTTTACACTCTACACTTTACACTCCTCACTCCACACTTTACACTCCACACTTTGCACTTTACACTCCTCTCTCCACACTTTACACTCCACACTTTTTTCACTCCACACTTTACACTCAACACTCTACACTTTACACTCCACCCTCTTCCGCATTCTGCAGTCTACAGTGCACTGGTACGGTAAAACAGGGGAAAATTGTAGACTGTTCAAATAACTTGTTTCACAATAGTGTTCTACGTGACTGCATTCGGGTTCGTGGGCTACATCTTGTTTAAATTGAATATAACACAGTTTCAAAAATATTATATAATAGAATGTAATATTTTTTTTTATATGTTAGAATTTCATGATTTTATGTAGCATAATTTTACATATATATATATATTATATAAACGATATATATATATATATATATTATATAAATTATATATATATATATTATAAATTATATATATATTTATTTATTTGGCATGAGGATCAGGGTGTTTGAAACCTCCAGATCATGTTGTGCTTGAAGATGTCGTTTGAGGACCCTTCATAATATAGCAAACATATCTGAATGGAGGTCTGGAAAGGATATTGAACGCCAGGTTAAAAAAGGCAGCAGACACCAAGTCGTGATTTGTTACTTTGAAGTAAACGTCATGATGACATGTTTGGCATTTCTCACTCTTCGCACTTCCAAACAATTGCAGGATGCTAAGACATGGCGCTTCGTCAGAAATACCATCCTGCTGGGCACAGAATCTTGGCAGTGTTTGAATCGCTGTATATATAACCTTTGACCAGTTCTGACCATCATCTGATTGGTTGGAAACAACATGAAACAGCTACAGTTCCAACTTTGCCAACTGTATCCAACTGCTTTAGGCCGTCTACTCGATCTTCTTGATCGTCATTGCCCTTGCTTTCTGGCCGGTGACTCTTTGCGGCTTCTGCCTCTTGTTGAACCTTGGCCCAAGCTCATTGGCATGCCAAGTTCACTGGGAACATTGATGGTTATTAGGTTGCCCTAAGATCCTTAGGCAACTCGTTACAGAATTTCCAATCCAGGCAAAAAAATCCGAGAGCCTTCTGGGAGCCTTTCAAAACTATCATTTTGTGTCATATTTTGTCATATTTTTTTCCAAAATTATTCAAGTTCCACCAACATCAGCAAGTTCCACTCCCAAATCCAGGATGGTGGCTATCTTGGCCGGGGCTTTCATCCACTGGCAGCGAAACAATCGCTTCGTGCCGCGCAGAGTTGCTGTGTTTGTAACAAGGGATCTCGTGGGGGGCTGGAAATGGCCAGTTTTTGAGCGGTAGAATGCTGCTTTACGATTTAAACCCATTAAACCGACCATATGAGGGGAGATGATTTCGTGGGAGTTGATGGGAGGTGATGGGATACAAAAATCACCAAAAATCACAAATCCGATAAATCATGATCTGGTTTTGTGGAACAATCGGGTTTGGAATGACTTGTTTATGGATATTTCAAGGGGAAATGACGATCGCAACATATTGCGGCCATAGGGATGGGGGCCCGTGACAAAACCAACTCACGTAAACCCAATGCCAGGGGAACCGGTGTCAGTTTCTCTTGCAGGTTTCGGGCGGGTTTGTTGGCAGCCTTCGGAAATTCATTTGACGTGCTTGGATGACTTTCTAGAACAATCTGTAACATGTGTTGAATGAGTTTTTGTTGGCATGTGAGGTCAAGATTGGTGTCGCTATTTGCATCGGCGTTCTTGTTCTGGGCGCTGCTGCTGGCATCACGTACTACTTTCAGAGTATATTCTTTGGCTTCAGCGTCGCATCTTGACAGCCAAGTGACACCTGGGACTGGGAGCAAGACTCTGTAACAATCCTTTGTGCTTGCCTGTTGTTCAGGTTCAAACAATAACGAACAACTTGAGGCATATTTGTAAATTGTCTGCATGGAGGGCGCAGACAAGAATCTGTGCCACAATGGAGAAGATCACCTGTCCAGCCACCGTTTTCAAGTTATTTCTTGGATGCAAGTTGATGCAAGTCTTTTTTTGAGTTCAATTCCCCCAGCAGATTTCTGAACGTGACCATGCAGGCCTCCTTTGCCGTAAAAGCAGGCGGCGGATAGCATATCGCAGTGATCAATGTATGGAGAGATAAAGGACACAAAAGGTTTGCATATCAAGCCATGACGAAGTTAGATAATATGTCCATCAGCCAAATCACCAAAGAAACTTGAAAGTCAATGCAGGTCAATGCAAAGAAATGGCAACAAAGACGGCAACAAACATGTTCAAAGCTGCTTGCTGTGACTCAGCAGTTTCTGGCTCTCAAGGTATGCATTGGCTTGGTGGTGCTCCTACTTGGTGCCGGTCTTCTGGAAGTCTCAGATTCCCAGCAGCGTACCGCTTTGGAACGCCTCCGAATCGGGTGCCCTACGTCATTATGTGGATGGTGCAATTTTTTTCGTGGTGTTTGATGGAGCTACTGCCGAAGTTGATGATATGGGTACGGATCAACATTTAAAAAACCTGGGGACTTTATAGAATTTTATAGATTTTAGATGATTTTAGATGATTTTGGTCTATTTATGTCTATTTTAGTTTATTCTTAGTATAAAGATAGGGTTATCTTTATTTTTGGGACCCATACCCCGACATGATTTTGCTTCGCCTGCAGGTCATCAGACTTTGCCTTCCCGATGTTCCGCTTCAATGCTGGGAAGCTGTCCTTGGCACAGAGTGATCTTGTGGCTTTCTTGCAGGTGTCTCGGTGGATCTCGGTGGCTAGCTGTGGCTTGCTAGTTGATGATATTTGATGATCTACTGATTTCATTCCACTATACATTTATTATCATTTATCTACTACACCAGCGAGAACTTAAAAGATCTTAAAAGATTTCTTCCACGTCAAATCTGCTTGCCATTTTGGGATCGTCCGGGCGTCACGGCATGCCACGGCTGAGGCTTTTGCCGTGTCCAGTGTTTGGGGCCTGGTTGCTGCTGCTGTCATGGAGGACTGGCCATCCATGGGCAGCTTGGATGTGGTGATAGCTTGGAGGTTTCCAAAGTCATGGGGCTACCCCAATGGAGGGTTTATAATGGAACATCTTATAAAAATAGATGATTTGGGGTTATATCCTATTTTAAGATGTTTTAAGAAATCTCGATTTTTGGAGATAGAGAGAGAGGTTTCGGAGTTCCACTGAAAAAGAGCATGGTTGATTGATCCAACAAAAGAAGCCTTCTGAGCAAAGATCCCCAGAAAGAAAATGGTGTATGATGGTATATGATCTTGAATCTCGAGATAACATCAATTGTCATTGCAAGATATTGCAAGCACTTCTGTGTCCGGACCCTGTTTCGGCATCCTTGCTAGTTTCCAGCATTTAGCTTCAAAACGGTTTCGTCAACCCTGAAATGCAACGCGCTTAGGCATGGTAGTGGCTGTTTTGTCGATTATGGCCTCTATGATCCTGCCGCTGAGCTCAGATGGATCAGAATTGCATGTTTGTGACCCGCGCATTGTTTTCTGGGGCATGAGCATCTCCAACTATTCGAAATCCTCGAGTTGCACACCCAACCACTGTGTTTGGCAGCGCATGTGCCACGATGTGCCCGTCACAATATTTCCATGCTAAAGCAGTGGAATTGCCATGAGCTCCCTACATCTCTGCCACCTTCTTGCCACTTCTGTGGATGTTGTGGATTTTGTCATGCTGTAATATCAAATGTAATTTTGTGGCAATAATATTAGATACTAGTAATTAATAGAAATATGACATATACGGTAATATACATATATATGTTTTTATTGACAATGATACTGTATCGATTGTAGTTTTGATTCTACTGAGGGTGGTGGATTTTGTGTCCTACAGTGGTCAGCAGCGCGCAGCCATCCTGCGGGATTTGGCACGGCCGCAGCTATATTCAGCCGTGCGGGATGCCCTCGATTCAGGCGTCCTGATGCGGCCGTGCGGGCCTAGGATGCATTACATGATGAACTTCCAAGAAATCCATACCGAATTTACATATATTTACATAATTAACCATAAAATATCATATGGTATACATTGGTATACCTTATTTAAGTCCTAATTCATTTTGATCGTTATCATTGTTGCATATTAGTTTAAATCATGATGATATTGGCCACGGTTTGCACAACTCATTCTGGATGACCAACTCGAGTGCCCTGCTGTCATGGGTGTGTGACGTGTCAAGACACGTCAACAGGCGAAACCAAAGGAGCCACTGTCGCCGACGATCCCTCAGCGGCACCAGCAGCTGCCACAGAAGTGAGTGAGAAGGTGAGAATGCGGAATGGGATGGAATGGAGCAATCTGGTTTTGTTAGTTGTCAAGTTGTGTCCCAAAAATCGCGGAACTCCATTGCGCACATTGGTTCCTGTTGAACATAGACATCATAGACCCGGTTTCAATTGTTGAAAAGCACGTGTTTGCAGCGAAGTAGAACAACGGTGATGGGTTGTTCCATGTCATGTTCCGACATTGTTATCCCAAAAAATATTGACCCCCATCAACACACATCAATATCATTTAATATCCATTATATATATATTACATAAGATGGATAGTTTTTTTTGGCACCATAGGTGACCAATTTTGTAGATCAATCGATGCTTATTCCATTTGGCCATTTGGTCCAGCTCTCCCTCAGCTGTTTCCCAGGAGACCCAGAAAGAACTGGTTGAGGCTTTGCAGAAGTTCCGCTCCAGTCGGCAAGAGGCGGTGAAAGCCTATCGAGACCAGGTGGGGGAAATGGCAGCCTTTTGGGACCTTGGGATGATTGGAGCCCAAAAAAGATGGGATGGGAAGGACCAACTGGCTTGTCGTGCACAGTTTGTTTCCTGGTATTTTCTATAGTTAATCATTTGATCATTCATGCTTGTCGTTTATGTTGGAAACAGGGTCTTCGGAATCGCGTGACTCTACCACGGGTGACCAGCAGTAAGAGCTCGTGACTGCTGATGTGCAATGCCCCTTAGCTGTGGAAAAATGACTCATTTATAGATTTCCATGGCCATGTTAAATTACCAGAGGAGAAATCTGGGAACATCTTGTATCCTCAGCATCCTGGAAAGGTCAAAGTTGCTTGCGCTGGCAGATTCAACACCTTTCCGCTGGCAGCACTCTTTCACACCCTGAATGCTGGAGTTGCCCTCATCAGAAAAGGACACTGTTTTTTTTCTCCTCACTGTGGCTGTGAGTATCGGTGAATGGCTTTCACATGTTTTCACTCACCCTTGGGTAATTAGTTTAATCGGGCAGGAGCATCTGAACATGTGTAAATCCAAAGAGGGTGTAGATGAGGTTCTCTTTCCTCCTGGTTTACCATCGTCATGTTTGATTGCTGAAGCAACCTCATAACCTCTACACACAGGCCACAACTTGCTGCGTGATCACAAGCCCCTCACGAAAAGGATGCGTGACCCTAACAACGCCCACAGACCCACGGGAAGAGCATCGAACTCTGCTGAATTGCGCAAGGAGCTGCCAACTTAGGTGAATGTCAATCGGCTTTTTGATGGCATATTCCAACGCTACTGGTGCCGTAACAATTTTTCCGCTGGATATCAAGTTGATATCAAGTTGAGTGGTGGAATTTGGTGCTCCTTCCAAGCTGCCCACAAGTAACTGGCCGTCCCGGTGGCCAGGAGCAGGCTAGCTGCAGTGCGTCGCCAGCAACGCTTCCAAGCTCGTTTGCAGTATCTTGCTGGTGGTTAGCTGCATGATCCTCCAGGGATGATCACATGGGCCACAGATGGGCCACAGGTACCCGGGTCCCGATGATCAGAGGTACCCGATGCTATATTTAGAATCGGATATTTATGATGTTTTCTTGATTTTCTTGGCTGTGTTTGATGTTTCTTGTTTTTTCCGGACTCTCTATTTTACAATTGCTTAGTCCACTGCCCACCCTTTGGAGAATTCGCGGCAAGCCCACATGCACATCTCCTGGACGTTTTGGGTGATGGGCAAAAGCAACTGCCAGCACCCTTCAATGCAAAATGATGTGGTGCTAGTTCAGCGCATACTATGCTACTATGCCTCTGCTTCCGGACATGAAACTATTGAAGCTTTTTGATACTGCTTACTGTAACCTCATTTGCCTGATGGAGTTGCTGAAAAAATGCCAAACTATGATCTCAAACGCCCCTGCCTGTGTCACATCTCAGATGTCCTGCTCCTAGGCTTTGCCTGGTCTCTGCCCAAGCACAGCAGATGTGGGCCAAAGAGTCTGAATTCCGCGCCTTTTTGCAAAGCACAGGCACCCATTTTGCACATGGTCTGATTGGTGAAAAGATTTGTTGCCAAACTGGTTCCCTTGAGGCCTACATTGATAAGCTGAGAAGCATTGGTATTTAGGGGAAAGGTTGCTGAATCACAAGCTGATTCGATTCAGCTCAAGCTCCCCAGCTGTGATTCAGGCACTCACGGCAAGGGCCTGACCATGGACGACTTCAAGCAGTTTCTGGGCTTGATGCAGGACGACTAGGGCCTAACGAGGGCCATAGAACACTGATAATATTATATAATAGTTGTGTTCCACACCAAAGACTTGGATAAATGAGGTGCTTTTGTCCCCGATATTCTGCCAATTTTTCTGGATACTTTGGGGCTACTGAAGTCACATCCACGAACCCAGTCAACGAGCACGATGAAGGCATCAAGGCACTGGACCTTGGCCTGGGCCATGCTTTGCTGAGGTTACCTGAGTCAGAGAGACTGGAGTTGGAAGGAGCATGGCAGGCCCTTAGCATTGACAGAGTGCTGGTGCTTTGAAGCAAAACGTAGCAAAACAGGTCGCACACCATATCTACACTTATCAACCTGCAGGCGTGGAAGGAGTCTGAAGCAGAAAAGCTGAGGATAGAAGAAGAACGCCGTAAAGAAGAGGTGCCGAGCGCATCCACGTATAGCATTGTTGATGCCATTGTGACAACATTCAAAGCCAAATCACTTTCGAGTATGTTCAAATTATGTGGCTCAACGGTGCTCAAAATCTGGATGATGAATGATAATTATATATGAGTCCGACATGACATCAAACAACAACAAACTTTGGTCATTTTTGAGAAATACAGCAGACCCCTACACTTTCGGGTGACACGTGAAGGCCACGTGTCTCACATGGGCCCCCGCCACAGGAGGAAGCAGCACAGCGGCGCAAGGAAGAAGCTCGCCGTCGCAAGGCACAAGCAAGAGAGGCCCGCAGTGGGTCAGCCGCAGCGGGATGGCAACAGGATGGCAACAGGATGGCACCCTCTGGTGATAGGCAGAATTCACATGGCTGCCATAGCTAATTACAGAAAATCACCATTTTAAATGGGGAAATCATCATAAACCATCATAAAATATCATAAACATTCATAAACCATCTCCTGTATATAAATGGACCATTTTCCGTAGCTATGTGAAACAACCAGTGGGTATATCTGAAAATTCCCCACTTTCTGGTCCCTGTCACCTTTGATTTCTTGGGCTGTATGCGATGTTTTGTGCCCAGGCACATTTTTTTTTAGGCATGCACATGCGTCATGCGTTCACAATGATTTTTGCACGTGCTTTGCATGTGTCATGTGCCTGTGTGGCATGCTGGCCAACAGTGCTGGTATGAAGAGCGTCCAAGCGTGTGAATTCGGTGTTTGCTAAGCTCTGTATTTGCGGCCAATAGGACTTGGAGAAGCTCATCAAAAGCTGCGGCGTGCCAAAGAAAATTCAGGCGCATCATGACTCATGGCGCATCCCTCTTGCGGTATGCTGATCTTCATGTTCTCGTGGTCTAGCACCAGTTTGTCTACGTCATGCTTGAGCCATCGTAGGGGCTCGTATTGAAAGGCACTGGTGCAGAATAGATATCGATGGAACTCATGTTTCCGAAGTGAATTGGGCTGTGGCAAACTCTACCCAACCTTTCAACATAGAATTGGTTGAAGCGAACAATTACAGGACACCTCCATAAATTTCTCGGGGAAAAAATCACTTTTAATTTAAATCTTCAACCAACCCATTGACGCTGTCTTGGATTTACAGTTTAAAAAACAATCCAAACTTTCATCTAAACCAGATTTTCCTGTCATTTACCATAGAAAACATCCAGTGCCGGCGCCGGTTTTCAGGTCCTCCATGGTCCTCCATGAGTTTGCTTCATGATTTTCATGGTAAACGATCAGGTTTCTTCAGTTTCTTCCTTCAAACATGGATAACATGGTTCCCCGACCCCATCCCAGAATTTCAAAGGCGTTTTCATGGTAATAAGAACATGGTTTCCTGATGTTTCCTGATGTTTCCTGTAGATTCTCGCTTGAACCAACCCATACAATGATGCCAGGATGCCATTCAAACCTCCATGGCCGCCGGTCTCATGGAATCAGATGATGTCATGGGCAAAGCCCAGCAGCGCGTCAAGGTGGGTGAAGCTTCTGACTGAGCCATTTGGGGTTCAAAATTTTTGTTGGACTCAGATATAATGAAGATATATGAAGATATGATGCTACGCGAAAAAGATGGAAATCCCATGTTCAAACCCCAGGAAACGATCTATATCGATCTATTTATATGGAGGGTTTTCCACATCTAAGTTGACTTACTGTAGAGTTCAAACTTTACATGTACATCCTGTATACATATGTATACATAACATCTGTAAGGGGTTACTGTAGTTGTTGGATGATGAGTGCGGCCTGACGTATCACTACCTACTTCTCCATGCCCAAAGGAGCTACAGACGGCAGAAAAAGCGTTGGAGGAGGCGCTTCAAAGTCAGGACCGTGTTCGGTTTCGCAACGTTTTAAGGTCAGACTGAATGAAATTGGGATTTCAATTTGAGTTATGTCTACTTGTCATTATGCATTTGCACTTTGGAGGAGCAAAATGTCAGACCTTATTTTTCCATACATTACTCATCATTATTCTATATGTTTTTCCCATGTATTCTAGCCATTTCCAGCCTATGCCAGGACGAAACGGAGGCTCAAGTTGAGAAGCTCAAGGATGCGGCTGCCCGAGCATCCGTGATCGGCCTCGAAGGCCCCCAGTGACATTGGCCGACCGAGTTATTTTGGAGTTGTAGACAATCTCATGATTGAACAGTGTTTTTAGATGTTTTTAGGCCATTGATGGCCATTGATGGCCATTGAGAAATGAGAATTGTGGTTTTGGGGTGCCCAATGGTGCCCATCATTTTGGACAAATCCATGGGGCAGCTATTTCTCGAGGGGACCAGGGTAGCAAGCAGGGAATAGGTTCAGTGTGTTTGCGAGGAGTCTTGTCATTCAATTCGGATTTGGCTTCAGAAATTTGAATTTGCAAACATTTTTCCTTTTGGACAATGGTTTACCTTTCCCAAAGGCAGTATCCGAGAGTTACCATTACTTGCCATTATTCACCATTCGTTTACTATATACACCATTATTCAATATAGTATTATTCATCATTATTCCGTCCCCATTATTTGCGATATTATGATATATGTATATATGTATATATAGAGATAATTATATATATATACACCAACATTTTATCAACATTTTATCATTATTTACCAACATTTTCGATTTTTCTTGCAGACGTTCCGCGAAGCGCAGGTGACCTCATTGAGAAGGCGCAGCAGAAGGCCGAGGCGATCCAAGCAGCGATCAAGGCGCGAGAAGAAGAGGAGAAACGGAAGAAGGAAGCGGAGAGACTGAGGACAGCTGTCGGGTGGACGGATTGACAGATTGACCATGATTGACAAAAAAAAACAGTGGGAATAGTCTGGGAATAGATTTTTTGGGGGATATAGATGTTCCATCGAAGATGATATTTCATGTGGTGTGTATATAATTTTTTAAGTTATATATATGTATATACTGCAATGTAACAATATGAGGTTGAAGAAGATCATCCGGAAAAAGATGGTGGAACAAGGCTGGAATTTAAGCAAGACACATATATAAGATATGGTCCATCATGTGGTATAACAAACCAACCACAACCAAAATCATCCAGATACGGAGGGTTATCATGGGATACATGGAGGTTTAACTGGGATACAATGGGGACGGATTTTAGGGGAACTAACGAACAATTGCTGTTTCCTTAAAGCAATGTATACTCCCCAGGTAGCCACTTTTGCTAGGGAACCTGATGATGAGCCAGTGGATGTAGGGGTACAGAAGAACCCAGCTGTCAAACAGTCAAACAAACCCAAAGTCAACTTATATTCAACTCATTTGGTGCAGCATTTTGGGATGAAAGTGAGCAGAACATGATGCGTTGTATGTTGATGATATATGATATATGATATATATATATATACATATCTGTTCATTCTTTTGTTGGGTTGTTGTGCTCCCCAGTACAGTACAGTGGGAGGTTATCAAGATATGTTGCGGAAACTGTATGGTTATGATACAATGCCCAACAGACTGCAGGAAATTGCAGGAAGAGGCCAGAAAACGCAAAGAGGAGGCCGAAGAGGAACGCAAGCGGAAAAGAGAGGCTGCACTCAAAGAATTGGAGGGAGCATTGATGAGAGAGGACCAATTGGAGTGGGACTGGCTTTGGAGGGAACATATAGGAACATGTAGACAACTTGTTCTGCATGCCGACTTGTCCACAGAGCAAAATGTGGACGTGTGTGTGTGTGTGTTTGCCAAACAGGGGGGCCTGTGTATGAAGTGTGACGATGTGCAAACGTGCTTGAGGATGAAGGCGCTGCTCTAATCGACATTCTGCAAGCTGCCATTGACAAAGCAACCGTTGCTGGCATCGAGGGTGACTTATTCAGCAAGTTGATCAGCAAGTGGGCTTAGATTGGAAAGTAGCAAGCATAGGAAGCTGTAATGATAATCCATGCCTATGCAAATATGTCAGTACATTCTGAATATTTCTGAATCATGTTTTGTGGCGACCCTCAGGTGATGTGATTGAGCAGGCCAAACAGAGGATCCAAGAAATCCAGGTCACTCTGGATTCTGCTGCCGACGAAGAGAGAAGGCGGAAGGAAGAGGAACGGAAGAAGCGCTCCGGCCTTTTTTTGGGGCTACTTAGTAGTACCAGAAGCTTCAGGATCCCATGAAAACTATAGGGTAGTAGTTTTTTCTGCAAGTCAATTGGCCCTTGAAAAGAAATATGCCCTGCGGTAATCAAACATGGCAATAGAACATCCCTAGTTTTTTTTTCCCTTAAAAACTCTATTCTTATTTAATTTCATATTGCCATGGTTGATTGCAGGCTATAAAGATCGCCCTTATTCCTCATTTTGTGGCACAATGGCCGCGACCCGCTTCTGTTCTAAGGAAACTTGCAGAAGAGGCTGAGAGAAGACGGAAGGAAGCGGAGGAGGAGAGGAGACGCAAAGAGGAAGAGGAACGCAAGAAGAGGCAAAAATCCTCTTGAGCTGCTTTAAAACTGCCAAAAAACATGAGGACTTCAATGGAGTTCATGTTGATTCCAATATATTCATATATCTATCTATCTACCTATCTTTCTATCTTTCTATCTATCTATCTTTCTTTCTTTCTTTCTATCTTATCTCTCTTATCTCTCTTATCTCTCTTATCTCTCTAATCTCTCTAATCTCTCTAATCTCTCTAATCTCTCTAATCTCTCTAATCTCTCTAATCTCCCCGATCTCCCCGATCTCTCCGATCTCTCCTATCTCTCCTATCTCTCCTATCTCTCCTATCTCTCCTATCTCTCCTATCTCTCCTATCTCTCCTATCTCTCCTATCTCTCCTATCTCTCCTATCTCTCCTATCTCTCCTATCTCTCCTATCTCTCCTATCTCTCCTATCTCTCCTATCTATCCTATCTATCCTATCTATCCTATCTATCCTATCTATCCTATCTATCTTATCTATCTTATCTATCTTATCTTTCGTATCTATCCATCTATCTATCTATCTATCTATTTATCTATCTATCTATCTATCTACCGACATTCCAACGAGTCCTCGAAGCTGCAGTAAATTAGTTCATCTCCGTTTTCAATGGGGAGTGTTGATAAACAGAGGAGAAACAACGGAAAAAAGCCTTCACATTTGTCTTATTTCCCCATTTCTGGAAGGGATAGATTACTCTCATGTATTTAGATGTCGTTACTTCCATATCTCCAGAACGCTCAGGGCAGGGGCGCCGAAAGTCATTGAGGCTAACCTGGACGAACTGAAAGCGCAGCTTGGATTTAGCGAGGCACTGAGGAGGTGAATTCGCGCTTGCGTGAAGTACATAAAGTAATGTTGGTAAAGCAAGAATCAACCAGCCTTTTTTAGATGGTTTATAGATAGAACCCATTTATGGATATTTATGGTGATTTTGGGGATGGTTTATATCTAATGTTTACTGCTCCACATGTGTATATATAGCTATATACTATATAATTATATATATTATATATTATGATTATTCATATATGTTATCCGAATATATAAGAATACATGTACATGTATATATGCAGAGAGTGACCTGCAAGTTCAGTTGATAGTGCAATTCGGCAATTCCATATTGCTGCACAGCCTGGTAATTAGTGTTTTCTTGTCCCAATTGTCGCACTTTTGGAGGTTGCAAGATCTTACCAGGGTTCCCAATGTCAGAGGTTCAGCTGCTCAGGCAGGTGAAAGACAACGATTTCGAAGACACTGTATGGACACCACAGGTGCAAAGCTGATGGTGTTAACAGCCAATTGGTGCTTTCAAACATTGACCAGTGGCTGCTAAATCTGTTGGTTGATAATGGGGGAATATAGTTACCATATCCAACACAATTATATTGGGGATTATCGTGGATTGTCGCAATTGTGGGATGTGTTCATTTTTGATCAGCATAGTAATGATCAAGCTTGACTTTCCAACTTTCACGGAGTTGAATTTCCACTGCCAGACGATGTTTGGGCTAAAACAAGGAAGGCAACCACCAGTGCCTTCAACTTCAGGTCTACGGATCAAAGGCAAATGTTCCAGAATATAAGACGCTTGGCCTGCAAATCCTGCGCTTGACCTGGGAAAACTGGAGAAATCCTGCGATCCCAACAGATTTGCAGGTGTGCCTCGAAGCTCATTTTGGGCAAAAGGCAGTCTTGCGGACAGATACGACGCGCATACATACACACACACGTATATTATCGTACATTAAAAAAACATAAAAGAACTGCATATATGTATGTATATATATAATTATTTATATTTATTATATATATGTATATTTCCATACGTCAAAGTATAAATAGATAAATAAATAAATAAATATATATATATATCACACTGTATATGTCTTATGCTTGCGGATATAGGAGGTTGATTGTATATCCCCGCACAAACAAACTGGCATAGCTCACAGAGAATTCGATGGCAGGGCCTTGCTTTCAGGTTCAAAAAGTTGCGGGAGATGGTTGGCAAGGCACGCAACTCAACGCTACCAGGACCCCACGCTGGCACGCTGTTCAAACTTGGGAACAATATCCTCCTGCGTTTATCACGAGTTTCCCATTCAAGTTCTTTATAGCGTCAAGACTATTGGTCCTCCAAAATAGTAGATTCTATTGGATGGTAAGACTTGTTAAGCACAATCAATGAGTAAATTTGTTTGTCCATTCAGGAGGGGGCCCCTCAGTTACACGTAGGCTTTGTTTCATCCATACAACTGTATAACTCTAGAAGCATCCACCATAATTACTGTAAGTCATTTTTATCCTAGTTCCAAACTAACGTTCCTACCTAGGGGCTTTCCATTATATTGCCAACATGGTTGGCATTATGCCCACATTTTTTGCTAATTAAATCCAAAGCCATTTAAAGACTTGGCGGTTTCAAATCGATGGATTTAGGGTTCCTGCCATATGTCTGCCTAAGTCTAAGTCATTAAGCAATTACCTCTAGAAACATGTAGATGGTTAGGAATCCTTCCTGCTGAGCCGCTTTATGACCTATTCCCATATCATGGTACCACACATGGCCAGGTGGAACTTTTCAGTAATGGCTGCTCTCCAGGGGACATTCATCAAGGAGCCAGGGCTGTGACACGAGCGTTGCACAGCTTTTATGTGGGCGTGTCGGTAGGTTGATATTCCAAAATTGCACTTGTTGATACGGAATTACCAAACATGATAGTAACGCATCGTTGGATGGGGTGCCATGTAATTTTGACAAACCCATCATCATGTTGATGTTTATATTGATCTTGTTGATGTTGATGATGATGATGATGATGATGATGGGGTTGTCGTTGTCGTTGTCGTTGTCGTTGTCGTTGTTGTTGTTGTTGTTGTTGCTGTTGTGGTTGTTGTGGTTGTTGTTGTTGTTGTTGTTGATGTTGTTGATGTTGTTGATGTTGTTGATGTTGTTGATGTTGTTGATGTTGTTGTTGTTGTTGTTGTTGCTGTTGCTGTTTGCTAGATCATGATGATCATGATGGTTTCGAGATGGCTAGGGCCCTGCCTGTCGCAGGAGAACTGGGCGACTGCTGGTTCCTTTCAGCCATTGCATGCCTATCGGCCAGAGAAGAGAAGAAACCCAAAGAAAAACAGATGAAAGAACTGCACCTTGACATGAATTGGCTGTGGCTCAGAACGACCCACTTGAACCCCCATTTTCGTTATCTTGGGAAGGTCAAACAATGTAGAATAGGTTTAATCCTGGGAAATTTGTAGAATATTATAGAATATCATGATGAAGATCCAAGAGTTCGAAATGTTGTGGGCTCATAGGTGCTCCCATTTTTGAGGCTGATCACTCAATGTGGGCCATTGATCTCTGAGGTTCACTTATACCGATACAGAGGTGGGTCTTTATGTCGTGCGCTTCTACAAGAACGGCGTTTACCAGGACAGCAATAGGCAGCAACTTCAGCAATGGTTGCCTCTGATGACACGGGTATGACTAGGATTGACTAGGTCAAGAAAGCATGATATAATAATGGATGACTGCGGAGTTTGTCAACTGATTCACTGTTGAGTTTTACTTTGAGGACATTGTGGTGGACGACAGATTCCCCACCAAATGGGGCCAGTGTTCCTTTGCCTCTTCTGGGAAGAAGTCAGAGTGCTGGGTTCAAATCATTGAGCGCCTTGGTTGATTCAGATGATGAATGGGGATGGCATGTGATCACAGATCTTTTACATTCTTTTACTGTATCTAGAGAAAAAAGTACTGCAGATGTTGCATGTTTCTGTTTGCTCTACCCTGATGTGCTGCGGTTTTTCCCTTGTGCGATGGTAGTCCTCAATATCCTCAATCAGGAAAGCCTACGCAAAGCTTCATGGCACCTATGATTCGATTGAAGGAGGATTTGTCAACGATGGCCTGGTTGACATGACAGGAGACATGCACCGAAGCCAAGCAGCTTACTGCCTGCAAGGCTTCAAAAAATGAAGCCCTTCCCATCTTCCCATCATACCTTCCCGGCATATTTTAGTTTCAATATCCCGTCCGTCTTAAGACCCAAGGTCCAATCTGGACAGACCAATCATCCGCCCATCTGACAGCCAACCTCCAGGAGGCATGGGTGGCCAGATCCGTCTGCATGATAAAGAAGCCAAGAAGGACACAGAGAGATCAGACCATTTGGGCCATCACACGGATCGGGAATGCTTACATATTATATGCTTCTATATGCTTCTATATGGTTATATCTGATTATATATGCATATTTATATATATATATGCACATACCCATACACATACATATACATATACAATACATATACATACACATACACACACATAGAGACATAGAGTGAGATAGCAGACATAGAGACATAGAGACGTACAGACATACAGACATACATACATACAGACATGCATACATCCATACATCCATACATCCATACATCCGTCCATCCATCCATCCATACATGTGCATATATATATATATACTGGGTGAAAGCCCTAAGTTGTCTCAGATAACACTTTGTTGTCTCATCTCGGTGTGCCATGCGGAAGAAGTGACACAACCACTGGAATGAATTACTACATGAATTGTTATTTGGTATGATCTTTACAACACAACGCATAGGCACGCAGGGATTCTTAACATGTCAAACATTAGTTATATCATGTTATATCCATTTGCCCCCTAACAATCCCTGGAGCAACGTGAGTTTCCCACACAGTGTGTACACACTCGGGGGTCTTGTGATCGGTCCTCCTCCTCCTTTTCCTCCTCCTCCTCCTCCTCCGCCTCCTCAGTATCATCATCTTCCTCCTCCTCCACATCATCATCCTCCACCTCATCTTCTGCAACATCCTCCTCCTCCGCCTCCTCTTCCGCAACATCAATTATCATCCTTTTCATCCTCCTCCTCAACATGATTATCCTCAACATCATTATCTTCCTCCTTCTCAACATCGTCATCCTCCACCTCAATATCCTCCACCTCATCTTCCGCAACATCATCCTCCTCCACCTCATCTTCCGGACCTTATTGCTTGGATCTTTCGGACCTATCCACATTGTTTTTCGCCATTGACTGTTTTTGATCTGACGTGGGGATACGTGGGGTGGGTTCTGACTGGGATGACAAAATGTAATTCCAGTACCTCGTCCGGTATCTCGCCCGGTACCTCGTCCAAAAACCTTTCCAGAGTCATGATTCTGGTATTACATCCATATTCCATATGTCTCGGATTCCGTTACAGTTACAGCAGGGCAGGGTGTAATTTCAATGATTAATTTCAAACTTTGTTTTGTGAAAGTCATCCACTCTCCTGCAAGTGTGCCATTGGAGTTTTGGCTCTACTGAGAATGGAAACCCTTTATTCTGTTTCTTTTGGGCATACCAGAAGGCAAGCTGGTGATGCTGTTTCAATGCTTGGCTAAGCTTTTGACCTGGAATTGCCCTTGAGATTTGACTCCAACTTGACAGGTCGCTCGCACCTTCCCATATTCTGATTCCGGGCATAGCTAAATGCAAGCTAGGGACTTGATTCAAAGTTTGCAACGGCTTCGTGAAAGTCTTCCACTCTCCTGCAAGTGTGCCATTGGGATTTTAGTTTTTTTTTGAGAATGGACACCCTTTATTTGGTTTCTTTTGGAAATGCCAGAACGCAAGCTGGCGATGCTGTTTCAATGCTTGGCTAAGCTTTTGACCTGGAATTGCTTTTGGAGGTGTACCATTGGGATTTGACTCCAAGTTGATAGGTCGCACCTTCCCATTTTCTGATTCCGGGCATAGCTAAATGCGAGCTAGGGACATGATTCAAAGTTTGCAACGACTTCAAAACATGATGCGTCTGAGCCGCTGTGCCTTGGGGATTTGAAACCTGGGGTAACTATATATTGTCTGCCCTGGGGTAACTCGGTGTGCCTTGCGGATGGGGTAACTACTAGCGGTAGATGGGGTAAGTAAGGGCGTCCGCTTTATATATACACGGCAACGACATTAAAATGTGTGGAGGGCGGGCCAGACCGCGAGGCCCCGGAGGGAGTATGAAATACCAGTTCGTATATTTAAATGTAGATACCGTACGTTTAAATGAATTGGATTCCGTATGTTTAAATGGCCGGGCGGGCCAAGGAAAACCTTGACGGAGGTAGTCTAAAATACCTGTTCGTATATTTAAAAATCCGTATATTTAAATGTAGTTACCGTATATACATAGGCTTGTGTGAACACATATTACACTGTATTATAATATATATATGTTATATATGTTTAATATACACTTATTACGATATTTCATATATAGTGTTGTTAATATTATATTTTATGTATATGTGTATATTTATAAAATAATATGCACATGTATGTATGTGCTTCGCTTTCCGGTTTGCCAAACAGCATGTTTACACCTCCCAAGCCGTGATTTGTGAACGAGGGCATAAATCATCGCATGGTGTAAGGGAACAGCACAGATTCGCCCAGGAGATCAACGACGGAACGATGTGGGCCACACTGAAAAGCCTCAATCACGATGGGCATTTGTTGGGCCGGGGTTCCTAATGGGCGGAATATTGTGATCATTAAGTGATCATAGAGAAATTGGTTCATTGATTTGTACAGTTAGTTTGAGTGTAGATGCACTGGCAGACTGGGAAGGTGCAACATACTTCACGAGCCGCAATTCTTTCTTCACGTGATAGCACCAATAAATTTTCAATTGCAGGTTGTGGTTCTGGTGCTGGCAAAGACACTGACATCAGTCTGGAACCTAGCACCATATGATTGATGCTTGAGGGTGTTAAGCCTGGGCACACAACTTGCAGGACAATTTGGCTGGGAAAAACAAAAAACGCCAGGGTTCCAGTGTAGTTCCTTTCTTGTACTGCCCGGAGTTAATAAACGCCAACTTTATTCATGGAGGAATCATAGATTGTGGGATCCCCTTATGGCTTCATCGGGGATCATCCAGCCATGCCAAGATATGCCAAGGCGATATGGGGATTGTGAGCCTTGGAGAAGCTGCCACGCCGTTTGTGATATACTGGGAAGTGGCTTTGTTCCTGTGAAATTGCAAACCATTTAAGATGGCCATGTAGCCATGGGGAAGATGACTTTGAACCGATCTGGAGTATGTTTACCAAATTTTGGGACATACTTGGGTTGACCTTGCACTGTTTGTCAAGATTGCAAAAGTTAAAACACCCAGAAATGCAGCAACATCCGGGTCATGACCCGGGCATAGGGACCTAGCAGCAACATCCACAAATCAGGAAGGGCCATGCCTATTCCTTGCTCAGAGTTGAAGAGGCACCGCCAATCGCTACATGTTTTTCGTGGTGAAGTCTTTGCACAGCGCTGCTGAGAGATGCTGGTTGAAACGGTGATGAGTGGTGATGGTTTACATGCAGATTTCGTTGTTTCTGCGTGTGTCAACCGCGCAGATTGATGGACATCGATTGGTTCAGCTGCGGAATCCTTGGGGCATCCTGGTATGAGGTTATGGACAAACGGCCAGCTCATCCTGCATGGCCCGGCATGGCTGCAGTTTCTGCTTTGCACCATGTGGCAGCTAAGGTAGCACTGAATGGAAGGGCAAATGGAGCGAAAGAGCCCCAGAGATGACGACTGCAAAGGTTACGATGTCGCGGCCGGCATTTTATATGGAACGTGGCCAATTAGGGCCTGCTTTGCTAAGGACGATGATGAAGACAGCTGGACGCAGAAGATGAAGAAGAAACTGGCCCCTTGGTGGTGGACTTTGGCAAGATTCAATGGATGGAGGTAACAGCGGGTAACACATATATGATGATAATATAAACATTCATAAGTACAGTTTGATTGCATTTGGCAATAGATCACAATAGTCGTGCTTGATATCTGTCGTGAACTGATCCTCTCAGCATCTAAGAAGATGCTGTCAGCTGGGGCAAGACTCATCCATGCAAACTGAGCAACCTTTTGGTTTCAGTCTCTTCTTAGATTCTTTAACCCACAATCGCAAACTCTTGCCACGAGTGATTCAGTAAACGTGAGGGAGGACAACATGCCAGGGGGAAATTCGCTGAACGGTTCACTATGGATTACCGGAAGGATTGCAGGACACCTTTACATTTGGGTGGTCAAACCGTGGTCAAACCATGCTTTCCTCTACCTTTTCCCAGCCAGTGAGAAATGTCGCTGTTCAGGATTTCAAGAAGGCTAACGATGGCACCTTTTGGATGGCCTTTGAAGACTTTGTATTGCACTACCGAAGTGTGTGCCTGGGCATATCTGGTCATCTACTAGATCTACTAGGAAAATTCTCGTTGGTTTCCCCCGAAAATCCCTGAAAATCCTTGATTGTGTTGAGAGATTGTGAGGTGAATTGGTGTGTGTGTGTGTTTGATTGTGTTTGTGTGTGTGCTAGATGGTGTATATATATATATATATATGTATATACTATATGGAGGTTTCCTAAAATGGAGTGTATCCCCAGTTGTCATCCATTTTGATAGGATTTTCCATTATAAACCATCAATTTTGGGGTACCCCATGGCACCCCCATTGATAGAACCCCCCCATAAAGCCGAGTCTTCATGGGAGGTACATTTGCCGTGTCTTCGACGACGAGTGGAAACGCGTCACGGTGACTTCTGAATGGCGGGGGGAAACTGCAGGCGGGGCAGGGCACTGCCTGAAGGGGATTTCACCAACCCAAGTCGCCTCCCTCCCCACAATATTGAATACCCCCACATGAATTCCTGTTCTAGTGATCTAGTTGATTACCTTCTGGTAATCAAACGTGATAGATGAATTTGCCATTTGAACATCCACAGTTGATTACCAGAGGGTATTGATTTTGGGGTCCCAAACATTGAGGAGTATTATTTGATTTATACGACGGGGGGGATGGGACCAATATTGAGGCTCATTCATGCGTAATTACCGGTTTAGTGCTGGGCGGTGTTTCAGCGCCAGGGGGCTGCTCCAATAATTTCTCGAAGTATGAAACTTGGCTGCGCAGGTACCGGTACCAAACTAATAATAATTACCAAGGATCAACCCTGGATGAAGAACCCCCTGGTCTACCATTTGGCGCTTTCCTCAATGTTGAAAGGTCCAAACAGGGATTTTTCAATCAAACCCACAACATTTTGATGGATCTGAACCTGTCTCCTATGCAAGGGGAATATCTGGCATCACCACTTATGGAGCCCCAGTAGGTTTGCTTCGAAGTCTGGAGGACAGATGTTCCAACAAGATAGTTGGATTCAGATTGATGAGCTAAACGGAAAACGGATCAATGGATCAATCCATCAGCGGCGAAAGAAACGGCCAAACCGAGGCGAAAAACCCCAAAGTCAAGCTGAAGATTGTTGGCCGGGTGCCGCACTCAGCATGTGACCCAGGGTGGGGATAGGCTTGGCCAGTGACTTACGATGGACTTGGAGCCAGCGCCAACACAGCGAAACGGAGTGAACCATGATGAGATAATATGATGAATAACGGCATTATTGCTGAGACATGCTGAGACCTGTAGGTCATAGGCAAATGATTGCAGCAAAGTGCAGAATTGGATGGAATTGGTGGCTATGCCTCTCAATTTAACAAAGCAAAAACGCCTAGCAATTTTTTTGGTGTTGGGAGCAACCCTGCATGGGCTGCATCGGGGCCATCGCCTTTTGTGATTGCCTAAGGTGAAGTTGTTCCTGACATTGATGCAGCACGACTCCCGCGGTGTGGGTGAAGGAGAAGGGGAAATACCCATTGGCTTTCGAGAGCTTTGGCGCAAGATGGGCGGTAGTTCCGTGTCAACCTAGTTGGTTGATTACTGGTGTTGGGCGTCATTGAACTGTAGTCAGGTAAAGGGATGGATAACTTGGCACCTTGGTGAGCACCAAACATAGATCGATAGGAATAGCCGGAAAACGGATACCGTTTTTATTCCCGCTAATGTCCTGTCATAGCTATTGACCACCCCCGATATTGAGTAATCAAACCAGGCGCAAATTGGATGAACTTGGGTATTCTTGTTGAACACCTAGTGACTTCGACAGGCCCATCAACAGCTTCGTCAGACTTCGGCGTCTTTTTACACTAGTTACATCCAAACGTCAGTCAGTGGTTAAATTGGCTTGTGCGAACATGCCAGTCATCAGATGTCATCAGCACTTCTGCATTTCCTGCCGAGGTCTTCAGAGACACGAACTTGCGCAGTAGTGCCGTTTGTGGCACTGGCACCTACGCTTACGACCGCGAGGCCTCAGGAGAAGCGGTTGCTGGGAATGCTGGGAGAGGGTTTGGAATGCACATCAGTATATAGGTAAACCTCCTAGGTATCACAGAGGTCTTGGATGCCTCTTGGCCTCTTGTATTTGACGTCACTTTGCAGCATCTTCCGCCATCTTTGCCATTCCTAACTTGCGGTGGAGTGACTTGACGCGGCCAGGTCTTTGTTGACACAGACTTGGAGGAGAATTCCAAAGGTGGACCGTATATCATCGTCCCAACCACATTTGATGCCGGCCAGGAACGAGCATTCACCATGCACCTTGTCTGGCGGGGGGATGGACAGTCCTCTGCTTGTTTCCCAGTAGGGGCTGTTGTGCATTGCCATATGCAGAAGTCAGAACCCTGCAAACTTCAATACTTTCACCGCAAACAATGGACCATCTGGTGGATGACGACTAGTTTCCAGGCCCACACAAAGGCAGTCAGTGTAGTTGTCATGACCAGGAAAGCCTATTGGAAGGGAGATGCAAATGCCGTCGTGATGTACATGGACTAAGCGGAGGCTGCGGCATATCGCATTTCACTTAGCTTTGCTGTTTATAGGTGAGTCTGCACGGTAGCGATGTAGCGGCTCCCAATTTATCTCCATTGATGTTGCACTGCATTTGTGGGTCGCGTTTTGTGATCAATCCTGACTTCCTCTAAGGACTCATCACATTTTGCCATTCCATGTTGGCAGGAGATTCCGGCCTCGAAATATCTCGAAATGAGAATCAGCACTCTGCATGTCAGGGGCTGACCTTACCACTACCACATTCTGACTCGCCGTTGGTCACAGCACGTCTCAAAAAGAGATGTTCCCTGGCAGCTCCATAGGAATGCAATGCTGGGGGCTGGCCATTGAGATCAATGAAGCTGAAGAAATCGTTGGTGTTACTGTATATTTTTGTATATGTTTGTCACTTTTTGTTACTAATGCTAGTGCACCGTCATCCTTTTTCCGTTTTGTTATTAATTGTGACCACTGTCATTCGCCACGCGATCAGTGACGTCAGCAGGGTGGTCTCATTGGGCCTGGCTGAGCCTCAAACTTTGCCTCGTGTCGATGCTCAAGATGAGCGTGACATGACGCAAAAAAAGACATTCCAGAGCAAGCAAAAACCGTTTCGGAGGCCTTGGCTTGTTATATGTGAAGAATTGTGAAGACATTCCGCACTCATGTCCATCCCCAGCAATGTTTCGGGACCGGCTTTTGAGAAAGAATCTTAAATTGGTCAGATCTTCTCACTTGACGACTTCACCTATGGGATACACATAAGGCCACAGTTGCAGTTACTTTGCCACCCCAACCTTCTGGTGGTACACATCAGATGATACGTGGTCTCTTTATGCATAGGTCCTCTTCCAGCACCGATCCTTGGGTCTCAATTCGAGCAATTTAAGGGGACATCTGGTGGAAACCATGGGTGTTTACATGTTTTTACCCAAGGGTGTGGCGTAAGCAAAACTCTGAAGAGCGTAAGCCAGTGTAAGCTCAGTGTAAGACAAGATATCCGCGTAAGGAAACCTTGTGCGCGAGTAAGCAAAGCATAAGGCATAAGCAATGGCGTAAGCATTTCCCTATCTGGTGCCTGAATACAAGATATTTAGATATATTTAGAACATGACCCAGCTAATGCCAAGCTATGATGGTAACAAGAAATGTAACATGTTTGAACATGTTTCAGGAGTTTCATCAAAAATGGCTGATCATATTATTCAAACATATTTCGGCGGCCGGAAGAATTTGAGCCCCTTGCCGTTGTAGGATGCTGATGCGCAACGCCGAGCCAAATTGGCGCCCAGCCAGCTTTGGTTGAAGGCACCAAGCCGCACGTTGCATCAGCGATATATGGAAACCAGGACAGAAACGGTTCTGCTATGGTCCTATATGGTATATTTACTGGTATTTACTGTATTATGATTCTGATTGTATATGTCTGTGTATGATTGTACACGTATTTATCACAAAGCATTGTGCCCAACGAGTTCTTTTTCGGGGGCGGTAAATGATCTAATGGGTGCTTGCTCGATCTCCGCTGATCCGTCTGGGAAACCCCCAGGCACCAAGCCGCATGGCCCTTGAAGGTGAGGGTGAGGGGGTCAGGGTCAATCACAGCTCATCACACATGCAAAATATTAAATATATCGAATAATAATGAATAGTATACGTATGTATTTATATATTATATATATATATTTATTTATTTACATGATATATACATAATTATATATATATATATACATAATATGTGTGTGTATGTATATATGTCTATGCGAAAATGAGTGATGGGGCGATCAAATATAGTGAAATTTATAGACAAAAGGATATTAATATAACTATATATATTGTTATTACATGAATTTTCATATAATTATCAACATGTAATTAAACATAGCAATAAAATATCCCAGTTCCATTGCCTTCATTCGCTAGTGCTACAGTAGTCCAATGCAGAGACTACGTCCTATTACTGCGGGTGATTTGCTATGATTGCCCAGTTTTCTTTGTGATGCAGATGATGCAGATGATGCAGCTGCAGCAGCAGCCGCAGCAGCAGCAGATGATGATGATAAATGATGATGATGATGATGATGATGATGATGATGATGCGCCCTCTGATTTTTATGCACATGATCCAATTTGCTATTCATGTTGGTGCTTGCGGTGTTCTGCTCAGACAACTTCTAAAGAAATACTAATCCTTTCCTTGGAAGTACTGTACTTGACGCCAACTAGACTTTGTCCCCATACATTTCTCAGTCTATAGCTTGCGCACTGCAGGGGAATACACAAAAGTCCCAGAACGGATGGAGAGAGGGCAGGCATTTGTGCCGTGGGGGTTACTTTTGATGTTCGCACAGCGGACTAGTTGACTTTGAGTGAGCTTCAAGCACCAAGGCACTAGGCGAGAGAACTCAAACTGAATCAGATAGGAGGGACAGCAACTGCGGAGAAGAGAGATAGTTATCCGAAATAAGATTCGGATCAGATGAAGGCCTCAACGGACACAGTGTTTGACTCTCACCAGATAAGTAGCAAAGAAGGATACTGCAGGAAGAGGGGGTAATGCGGCTGGCAACCACTGGATTCAGCAAAAGATCATAGTAGATCTATGCCGGGGAAACCAGGAAAGATCATGAAAGATCAGCATCAGCCATTTTTTTTTTTAACATGTGTTTCCTGCACCCAGCATGCTGAAGGTGGTTTGGAAGCAGCACTGTGGCCCTGGATGGTGCGGTGCTCACAATTCACTTGTCAGCCCGCTCTATCATCGCGAAATGATGCGAAATGGGGGATAGAACTTGATCTAGCTTGAGGTGCTGTTTACAAGATTTTCACCATTTTAAGCCCACCTTTAGCAGAATCCCACATGCCGAATCTTGTGTGTTCTTCGTTCGCCCAGTGCCAGAAGCCAGGATTTACAGCACCAGTGGTGGCCGCTGGTTCATTACTGACCGTCAGCTACTGAGCTCCGCAGTTTTTAAGCATCAACATAGGGCACAGAGTCTTGAATTGTGTGGGGCCATATCCTCATCCTCATCCTCCTCCTCCTCATCATCATCATCATCATCATCATCATCACTTGTTGGTCATCAGCTTTTAGTTTACCACTTGACAATTGGTTTCCATTCCACCCCTTTTTCCATCCTCGTTTCACTGGACGGCTCGATGTTTTCTCGCAGGTGAAGATGGCATCTCTGCCTGTACCGGAGTTCTTGCCTCGGTGTCGCCACATCAGAACCGCTTTCCACAGGTGCGGAGGAGGAAAGGGGAAAGTCGAAGTTAGAAGGAGGGCTGTCACGGCAGGATGCGAGAACATATGGCAGTGTGTCAAAACCTTGTACCCCTGGTGAACATCAAAATAGCTGGTAAATGGATGTTCATCCCACTAAAAATCGTATTAATAGGTATTGATCCATACCCATATGAGAACCATGCCGCAATGGTCCATGAACATCAATGAACAATTTTGAATGCACACATATTCAAGTGCTATTCAAGTGCTACACTTATGACAGTACTGAAACTAAAATTTCAACCCTTCCACAACCTGCGCAGTGAAATCCGACAGGAGACAGAACAGTGGCAGGAATTCACCAGTGGTGTCCAAGACTCAGTGTAGCACTTGCTGGGTCACTTGTTGACATTTGTTGACGGTTTGCAGCGCTGCCAACAGGTATGGCAGATCGCACCATCTGTGGCTGTGGTCGTGCCCCAGCTATGGATTTAGCGTGGTATATCTCAACATCTCTTGGCATTGAACACAATTACAACAAAAGGGGATGGCGATGAAGAGAGGGAGAGATAGAGATATTGACATATGATAATGTCAGCCCTGGATTCAGAAACCCTAGGCTGTTTTTTTTTTTTGGGGGGGGAGGGTACCAACTAATTAAGTATATCACTATATTGGGGGGTACCCTCCTAATTATATATTTCCCATGATTTATCAATCTAGGGTTGATAAGTCCAAGGCATTTCAATGTTCACCAGTGTGCCAGGAGCTTGATCATCAGGTGATTCGAATCAGATCGCTCAGGTGGACGAAGAGTGCCTGAAGCTTCGCCACTTGTCCTCTTTGTCCATGGACAATGAGTTTCAGGCCAGAGGACGAATCTGGAGAATCCATGATAATCCCATACCCATACCCTTCATATGGGCATTTTATCATCCAAAAATATGCAAAATCACTATGTTCAAGACAATCGTTGAAAAACCACATGCATACATCCACATGCAGCCCCCAATCATGTTGAATACTGTAATTACTCCCAACAATAGGTACCAAAATGAACATTGGGCGAAGGGAGTGCGACAAGGAACATGACATTTGGAGGGAGATGGCGGTGGACCGTGAGAAACATGAAGATTCTGAAGATGTGACCGCATGATGAATTGCTTGCTGTTTATCTCATCCAAATTTCCAGCAACACGCACAGACTTCAAGTTGATTGCATTGATTGCCATGATTATTCTGCGTTAGTTGGCTTGTTAGTGCAGTTTCCTCATGTTTCCTCCGAGTCTTGAGATTTTGACATGAAAGTTCACCATGTTTTCCCAAGGCCATAGATGACCGTTATGGGCAGTGTCAAACCAGGTCCTGGCACCGAAGTTTCCGCAGAATCTCTGGGTGATGTCTTCGGAGCTCACAGAGTTGGAGGTGGATTTGCTTGTTGGATGAGCTTGTACATTGGGTGAAGATGGTAAAGGTTGAATACTTATGAATACTTGAGGTTGGTGGGATATACTAACCAGCTGGGTGTGGGGTTTTGAGACAGTATTTACTGATATTTACTGTAAGATTGGCCATATCTATGGGAACTGCTTCCAAGGGCCATTTCCAGCTTTACATGGATATGTTACTTGACGTTACTTGATGTTACTTGATATTTTTAAATGATGTTTTGGAACCGTTTCCGGCGCTGACTCTGATGCTTTTTTCCCTTATTTTTTTCATGGTTTTGGTGCCGGCTGAGTCTTTTGAATGGGAATATATATATATGTTATATTATATATATATATACATACACACTTGTATATAGTTTTTCTCCTATCTATCTATATATATATATTATATGTATCTATATCTATATCTATATATCTCTCTCTCTCTCTCTCCCGAACAATGATCTCGGAACACATGCGAAGATCAGATATTTCCCAAGCAGAGCCGTGATGATTTTTTGCCATTTTGGATCAAGCTGCTGTGCCGCCAAGAGCGTTGGAGCAGCGAGGCCGTTGTGACGTGAGTTTCTCTGAAATTTGATTGGACCTCAAGTCTGATGGTTGATCACCATTTTTCCCAGGTTTTTCCAATTAAATCTGGCCATTGGGGGTAAGAAATACCACAATTTTCCATCCATCACGCACAGGCATTCGCAGCAACGCATAGCAACGCAGAACCTGCCACCGGTCTCGGTGGCCTGGAAAGAAGCTATATCTCAATCGTGTGGCAAATCCAATAGTAAACCCACCATTTGTATCCATTTATAGTGATTTGAATGACTTGGGGGATGATTTATTATTGGCTTTACCACCTTATTCCAAAAATGGTTCTTCTTCGGATCAGCTATGCCAGGAAGACGACAAAGAGACACAGATATCAACAGGCCCCTGATACAACATGATACAACCACAGCAGTGCTCGCTGCAGAGGTTTGTGAACCCATAGCCAGATGACCACAGGTGGGTATGATGGGAGCAGATATCATGGGTACGTGGCTTGATATGGCAGGGTACTGGTTCAGTTTTCCTGACGCACAGGTCTGTATGAAATCCCCACGCGCTTGTAGTCGCTTAATCTGTTGATGCATTATGGTTACATGATGTTTCATGCCGTTGATTGCCCAGCCATTAAATCCATCAATTGGAGGGAGTATGGAACAGAAGCCACATCAATTCCTCTTGGAAGCCTTGGAAGGTCGAGCAAGCAACGCCTTCCTAGCCATGCCTGGTCCGGAGTGTTACCTCCTGGGCAGGCCTGGCAGATCTGGAGACTTTGTTCAGCCAAGGTGACCAGTATAGTATTTGTAAGGACTAAAAGCGCAGCCAAGGTTTGCTGTTACTGTAACAGGTCGCTGAAATCAATCCATTGAACTACTTTCGTTATTTTTTGTGCTGTTTGGGACGCATTTTGAAGAGGACTGGGCCTTTCACTCAACTAACACTTGACCAGTCGCTTGGCTGATGGGGAGGGATTTTAGATGATGGCTGCACGCTGCTTACCGGCCTACCGCCTGAGGCATCAGCCCCCACCCGGTTTCGAAAACTACCAGGAGCGGCGATCAATCATTTGAGCAGACGGACATGGAAAAACTGATGTGAAATTCGAAGAAGTCCTCATTGCGAACTATATTTGGTAATCAGCTCATTTATTATATTGATTCATTTCCAGTCGAAACATATTGAACCTCTTTTGAATAGGCTGAGTCACGGTGAGAGATATAGTAAAATATAGTAAACGCATCATCTAATATATTAGATCTACTCATCATCTAATCATGAACTAATCAGAGTAAATCACCATTTCATCACGACTTTCATGGTGGATTTGGATTCTCCACGTTTCTCCCAGGGCCTGTTACACTTGGAGACCATGAAGGCGGCGGCCAGTCTGCTGCCCCTCCCCACCCTGTTGGCTCCGTTGCCGCAGTACTTTTGCTGCAAATAGAGTCTAAATAGAGGCAGAAAGGATATGAAAATCACACACACACACACATATATATATATATCATATAAAACTATATTATATATATATATGTATATATAATGCTTTTGTTTAAGGATTTTAAGGACATTCATTATACCAAGATATTTTCTGTCAAACATTTTGCACATTGAACGGTGAACATGTTATCTTGGAATAAACTGGATTGAATGCCCGAAGAAACAAGAGACAGGTTTCCTCACCTCTTGCAGAATTACTTTCACAGTTTGAACTGTTTGGTCCTGTTTGGTTTAGTTTCCATGGCATTTCGATGGCATTTCTACCCCACATGCATCCACAGCGAGTGAAGCTACCCTGTTCATCTTCGTAGGGCCGTAGGGCCGTAGGGAGTAGCTCTTCCATCCCCTTTTGAAGCCATGGGCCATAACTATACTCAACCATCTTTAAGAATTATGAGAAGCATATATAAGCATGATTGAAATCTAATATATCAGCATTATGAAAAACGCAACAACTTTCCGTGGATCTCCAAGGTTTCCCGGATACTTATGATAGTTGCCCTCCCCAACACACTGCCTAACGGTCGGGATGTCGGGGCATGTCGGTGCCAAGTTATCAGTGCTAAGGTGCGTCAAGTCCATCGATACACCGAAGGAGTCAGGACTTCCAATCCTGCTGTCCAGGGAGGATGTCGTTCCTGTGATCGAATTGTGTAAAATTATTACATGGATGGCATAGTTGGAATGTGAATGGAATATGAGTGGGCTATATAATGATATAATATGATATATATATATATATATGTAAAAATGTTATGGTTTCTACAAGGCCGGGGGAATGAGGTTTCCTATGTTTCCTTTCATGGGAGTATGCCCAAATCATCATAAATCATCCAAATGAGGCAATTTTCGTATTGAAACAGCCATGGTTGACATGGGTACCCCACAGGAAACCTCCACATCTTTCGGCCCCGGGAGTCGAACAAAGGCAATTTAATTCAGCATCACTTGTTCCGCCGGCTTGCCACACTGGCTGCCACACCGTCCAGTTCAATCCAGAACTGAGGCTATTGGAAAAGTGGTGCGCAACCAAGAAGGTGCCGAGATTGTGTCCCAGTTGCTTGCTGCTGATGCATCTGCAACACCCTTGGTGGTGACATCTCTTCTCCCGGACCTCCCCTTCCTGGCGAGTCACCCGCATGGCGCCGGCGTCATCAGTGACCTCTTTGAGGCATGCCGGAGAGCACCGGACCATGGGGCATCGACCATTCCAGCCTTGACGCGACGCTTGCAGGGATCCTTGCTGAGGCTCACGAGAGATCGCTGGGGCTGTCGTGTCATGCAGGCGGCCTTGGAAGATGCCGCACCCGACTTCCAGCAGGCTTTTGCCAATGAGTTGCAAGGCAAAGCCTTGAAACTCTGCCAACATCTTCATGCCAATTTCGTCCTGCAGAAATATGTGGAGCTTGTGCCAGCCAGTTCCGCTGGTTTCTTGCTTGAGGAGCTCACACCACATGCAATGGAGGTGGCGGTGCACGTCTATGGCTGTCGGGTCTTGCAGCGCCTCATCGAACACTGCCCCCGGGAACCACAGCTGGCTTCCTTGCTGGAATCAGTGTTGAGTGCGGTTCCGCAAATTGAGAAACTTCTCAAAGATCCGTTTGGAAGCAACTTGCCTGACTTCACCGGCTTGGTCCCAATGGAAGGGGCAGGGGCCCAACCATACCCCAAGTTGAGCCTGGCACATCTATGACAGAGTGCTTATGTACTCAATCATTGCCACTGCTACCTATAGTCATTGCCTATGCTAAAGTTGTTTGTCCTACAGAATCGGGCAGATTTGTTGGTTGACATAGCAATTTTAATGGCGATGCGACCGGCTGAGGCAACGTCTTGAGGGCAGTGGTGGCCTATGGAAGCGATTCGCAGGTCAAGGCGCTGACTGGTCTGGGGGGGTCGGAAGTACCAGAAAGTTGGGTCCCATAACCCGTTTGGCTTTATGAACGGTTTTAGGCAATTGATTACTCAGCACTTCATCATTTTTTCAGCAGCTTCAAGCACTTCTTAAACAGGTACACGCAGTGTTCTCCAGACTCCTGGGGATGGCGATGGAGAGAGAGACGTAGTGACGTAGTGGACTATACACGACATGCACTTCAAGCACAACATTGAACCTGGAAGCCATGGCAGCGCATGAGACCATTCCAGAAACACAAAGGCATCTTACATCATATGATAAAGGGATATATTATATATATATAGAGGATTATAAAGGGTTTGGCTGCAATGACTTTATACTTTCCGTTCGCCGTTGCTTTTGTCCAATTTTATCCAAAGCTTGGCTGACAGAGGCATGGAAAACCCGGAAAAACAAAATGAACCTGTTAATCCACTCCCGCATATTCCCCCTAATAATATGCCCACATATCCCTACTAAATGCATCTGAAACTTCCCCAAGAGCTCAGATCATCTGGCTCAAATTCATGGATCTTTGAAAACCCATCCCGGGACCCATCCAATTATATTTTTTGGGAATGAACCGAGCTATTACCATAGCTATATATTGTGGATTCACTAGGAGAAACATGAAAACCCCCAAGTTGTTGACCCACAAGGCATTTGACCAAGCGATTGACGACAGGCTATAATGGCAGCTATTTCTACAAATGTGCTGAAGTTCGCCAAGCACAAGCATCTCGGGCGTCACTGGAGCCTTGCTGAATATCGTTGAATGATCGATCTCTTTCACCCGGATCACGGATCCCGGCAGCCAGGCATGCAAGCCTTGTGTTTGAGCGTTGTCTCGAAGCCAGCAGTGAAAGATCTGGCGATTTCCCGGAACGTGATATGTTGGTTGCAACTTGTTTGCAGAAGTGCATCTCAAGAACGGAGATTCATGGTGGGAGATAAAAGGTGCATGAACATGCATGAACATTTTAACCACGAACTCAATGAAGACCGAATTTGAACTTAGAAGTGTAGATGGGCGTGATCCACTTTGGCCAGATCCAGTGCTACTTTGTCCCGCATTCCCAAGGCCCTCCTCTTGGGAGATGGTACCAGCCGTGCTCCATTAGCACAAGTTTTACTGGACCGTTTTGGGAATTATTTGGCCCAAAGAAACTTGGCTGAGGGCTCCTTTTAGGGTGAGTTTTTCAGCAACGGTTTTCGGTCTTTTTCAACATGGCCTTTGCATATTCCAGGGTCAGCACTACAGGCCAAGGAAGAGCAGATATTAGATAAATTGATTATAATTCATCTATGTTACGTCCATAATATCAGATGACATGATATGGATAATTAACCAAATTCCATAATCTATCGGTATAACTCATATTATAAAATGATTATATATGGATATATATGGGATAGGTGAATTTGTATATGACAGATATGAGATGATATGAGCAAAAGCTTGTCGCCCAACAGAACAGTCGTCTCCGGGCGGCCACGAAATTCGGTTCAAAACGAGGTGGGTTTGCCTGACCAAGGAGATATAGATTCTATAGATATGGGGAACGTCAAATGATGACGAATCCTTTCGTATATTCCGAGCCCTTTTTTATCCTCATTTTCCTCCACAACAATTCATTATAGCAACATCCGATGTAGAAAAGTCAAATCCCACTAAGATTAGTGTTTTTTCATGATTTTTCTATGTTTTCGGAGGTTGCTATATGTACAGTAGATATTTGCCAATTTTTTAGCGCATTGACCATGACTCTCAGGAATGATCCACTGCTGCAAGAGCGAGGAAGAGCCGAGGCAATCATATGTGTTGCTATTGCCGTCGTGTTGGTGGGCCCTGTGGTATGTTGTGATTCTGGCAGGGTTGCGGTTGCCTACAGAACTGTTAGTTTGGTGCTTTTATTTTGTTGTTCTTGTTGTTTTTCCATCTTGTCCCTCTTTAACTTTCCTTTGCGTTCGCCTTGATTGAAGCTTTGCATACGGCACATTGGCTGGCCATGTTCTTTTTGCAGTTCTTTTTCACGGCATTTCACGGCTAAAAATATGGGTCGACCCACGAGACACTCCTGCTTTTCGCCCAGGGTTCTCAATCTGCTTGCCCGCTGTCTTCCGAAACTTCAGCGATCCCCCCAAGGGCGGCACATCACAATTGCAGCTCAGAAACGTTTTGGCTGCATGCCCGGCGTGCCCGGGAACATTGGAATGAGTGCACAAGCTAGCGGACGACCGTCGGCGAACTTGGGTGCTCAAGCCTAAATGCTCTCAGGTTAGTGTATGAATGCCTAGATGTTGAAATCTAGCGGCTCTAGTGGTCGAAGGATTCAATATGATTGAAGTCGTTTTAAAGACAAGCTGGAGCAGCCATATGGTGTTACAACTGCAAGATATTACAGAGCTTGTGTACAGAGCCTCCTTCAGTTTCCTTAGGTAAGCATGGCTCCGCATTGCGTTGTGCCCAGTCCAAAGTTACGCTTGTTTGGTTATGGAAGGTGCTGTGTGCTTGTATGATACTGGCTTGTCCGGCCGGCTTTTACATTCAACTTGCGGAGAGGCCACCGTAGTGATATCTGTAGATGACATTTTATGCCAGGTGTTTTTGTGACATTGAACTGCAGAAACTTGTGGCATCAGTCCTTGATGAACTGGAATAAGCTACCAAGAATTACCAAGCGCTCAGACTGGGTCCAGCTTGATGCGGAGTCATGGCACCAAAACGGGGCTATCGCCATAGCTGTCAATTGACTTTGTGTCTAGAACTCTCTGTGCGCTTGAAACTGGTTGTAGCATTGTGGCGCCGATCACACAATCCGCCTCTTGAGCTACAGCATCTTGACATTGGGCTTTTGTGCCACCTTGACTCCCAGTATCTGTGCCAGAGGGTTTCTGTTGCTGTGCTGGCCACAGCTTAATTGGAATTGGAATTTGGGCATCATAAGGAGAAGCGGTGCCCCTTTCGGGGGGTCATGAGAGATTGGTGGTACCGTGATTCGCCGAAGACATCGAACATCGGTTATTTTTACACATAGAGAAACCCGCTGCAGGCGGTGGAAGCCTTCCATCAGCATGCGCTATGCAGCCTGCAGCTATCTTTTTATGTGGTGCATAGGGAAGGCACCTGGGAGACCATTTCGAGGCTTGAGGTACAAAACCTCAATCTGGCTTTGCAATGGTTTCCTGGAGGCTGAAGATGACCTTTGCGTTGAAGGTCCATGTTAATGTAGCGTGTGTCGACAGGTCCTGTTGATTCCTGAGCACTCTTGCCTGTAAGACATTTTGCTCATTTTTGGGATGAATCAGGGTGAATCTTGGTTTGCCGACTGTCAGCAGCACGCGCACGTTGCAAGCCAGAGGGAATGGCTTTGAATGTCCCCTTCTGACGACGAGATTTTGTGATCTGAATCCGAAATTGCCTCCTGGGAGCGCTGGGAGGTGAATTTGTTCCAGCATGAATTCAGAGTGTCCGAGTCCCAACCCTTGGATTTGGTTTGTAATGTTTGGTATTTGTATATTTTGTATTTGTTGGCAATTTCTAGCAGTCTCCACGCATCTTCACGCTAGATATGGATGTTGAACTGGGGCAGTCTGAATGTGATTGTTTGAACAGCTTGGCGATTAGTTGCGGCACACAAGAAGCATCTATAGCACAGGGGATCCGTGAGAGATCCGGACGAAGAGTGCCTTTGAAGCATCAGGTTGTTAAAACATGTAAAACATTTCTCTTAATGTGAAGCAGGTTTTCGCATCCGTTCACTTGTCATTGGCCAATTGGTTTCGGTGGTTGCCTGAAGTATTGTCCAGGGGCGCTTAGTGTTTGAACCCGGGTGTGACAGTCACAATGACAACCGTGCGCGATCGCACACAGCGTCGAGTTCGCATGGTTACGTCCTGGGGTGCTGGAACAGACTTTTGGTCGGATGCTTCTCGACCTAGATAATTTGTAACTTGTTGGTGGTTTCAAATATTTGATGCTCTTAAATTTTATAAATGGTCCATCCTAATTACCTGGGATGATGAATTTCTGAATGATCCCATACCATTTGACTTGTCCTTTTCCGAAAAGGGGATCTGAATGGATCTGAAACCACTTAAAATCGGCAACTTTCGAGAGCCAACAGTGGTTGTCAGGTGGAGTCAAATATTTTCAGTGGCCGGACTTCTTGAATCTTCTTGAAGTGAAGAGATGTGAAGAGACTCAGACAGCAGTCCACGTGGAATATCTTTGAATTCTTGACTCCTCCATGTCCTCGGCATCCATTTCCATATGCACGAAAGAGTCCCTCGCCGCCATTCCAGGGGAGTCCAAAGTCAATCTCCGCACAGTTTTCCATGTGGTAGCTTGAGTCCAGAAAGAGATCACAGCGCCACGGTGCCAAACAGGCCAAGATCTTGCAAGCAGTTCGCGGCAGTTGCTTGCAAGACAAGAGCAATTCTCATTCATTACGTGAGATGCACTAGGGAGAATCATGGAGAATCATTGTATATTGTAGCGTGAATGCCGAATATTGGGGTCAGCAGGTACATCAAAGCATATCAAAGCTAATCGGGTGTGTTTGTACATATATAGGGTGCCCCCCCCATGAAAATGATTTGAAGAGGCTTTTGGGATATCTTCGGTATCTCCATGTAACGTATCTCCTATTTCTATCATTGTCTATCCACTTCGGGCATGAACCACTTTTGCTTCACTCATGCCACAAAAGGAACAATCTGAAGGCGGCATTCTTTACCTTGCACATCTCATGTGACATTGGGCTCAAACAACAGCTGCATTAAATTTAACGGGCAGAGGGCGAAGGCTGGGGGAAGTCTTCGATTTGTGACTTGTTTTCCTGATTTTTTGAGATGATTTTGGGCAGCGACGTTTCCTATATGCTTCTGGCATCTTTTGATTTGCGAAGCAGATCTTGCCACATGTTTCCACATGCTCGCCCTGTTTTGTTTTAGCTTGCAGACTGCAAGTCAACCGGGTTTGAAAAAAGCCGCAGGCTTTTACAACATCTTTGATTCCCTGAGCTTCATTGCGGCCATGGACGCAGGACTAACACTGCACTGCATTTTTTGGGGCCAGTCAAACCATGGATCGATGCGTTACTTTTTGTGGCATGCCCTCCCTTTTGATGGCTTGCCTTGGCCCGCTTCGGCGAGTTCTGGTAAATAGTATCGGTAGATCTGGGCTGTTGAACCATGTCGCAGCCACAGCTTTTTTTGTTCACCGTTCCAGGCTTGGTTGCTCAACTGGCTGCGTTGATCCAGAATCAGAATCAAAGGGCCAACACCCTCCATTCCATGCCGATCTCTTGTGACTCTCGGCTGGAGTATCTGCAGCTGTGAAGATGCTGAAGGTATTTACAGTAATTAACATTAATTAACCGATCTTGTGGTTGTTGTACCGGTGTTTGTGGGGGTTTGCCCCCCCGAGATTCTGGGCTTGTGGCAAGCTGCGAGGCTTCCTTTGAGTCACTACTGTATAGCTTGGCTGTTGTTTTCTTGTGACTGCGTCAAGAAGCATTTCCAAGGACTCGAACACAATGTGTTCGATGGGGCCATACTTGCCACCTGAAACTCGACGCAAATTGAGCTGACAGCTCTTGGAAGTCCAAGCATCACTAGCTGTGTCTCTTTTTTTGGTGTTGACGGTGAGGCACCCATCAATTCCCATCAGAGCTGGGATGCTGAGGTTTCAAAATCGATTCCGGAGACCTCCAGTTCTCTTGAGGCGCGCACACTCTGCCCGGGAATCGATGCGAGAAGGCTGATGTGCCAGAGCCAGTGGTACATGGTGGCGCAATTCTATCAGAATTATATATTCAGAATATTTCAGAATTAATTAATTATCATGGTTCCATTCTATAGATGATTCATATCAGAACCATGGTAAGTCTATCACAACTATCATGGTTCTATCATAAATAATCCTAATTAGTTCACTATGTCTTTCCCCAATGATGATTAACGTACGACCATGACTATTACTACATGATCTACTTTGTTTGCAGAAGATCTTCCGATCCCCGTTCGAACGTGAGCGGCGCAGGGCTACCCATGCAGTTTGCGCCCACCACCAGGCCTGGAACACGTGACACCTGTTCCAAAGGGTGCAGGCCTGGCGGGATCACTTGGGCTATCTTGGGCCTGGATGGCATAGGATGGCTGTTGATTTATGGGATTTATGATGGATCTATGATGGATTTATGCTAGATCTATGGGCTATCCCCAGTTACAGATGCGTTTTTCTTGGCGAAACATATGTGCCACGCTCGAAACATGAGTCATTGTCCGATATTGTCCCATTGAAGGGGAAGGTCATCTCCCCATGAATGTGGGTTATATAAGTTATATAATGCAATTCAACCATGATAAGTGATAAAGAATCCCTATGGTGGGGTGACCATATCCGTACCCCGTTAATCGATGTTAATCCATGTTAATCCCATCTTTTGACGGCGCATACTTGGAGGTGCAGTTCGAGTTTTAAGTGGATGTATAACTGTATAACCAATAAGTTGTGGGTGTTGCATCAGTTGTTGCCAATTTTTATCACCATAGTCTTACAATGTTTTACCGTTTGCCATTGTTTTACTAGCCAGTTTGATCAAGTTTTATCATCATTGCTAATGGGCTGCAGCATTGTTATTGTTTTACCCAGTCATCCCTTTGGTGCAGCCCGGCCCTGGGCCCATTTCATCGAGGTCCAAAAGCTCGTCAGATCTCCAAGTCATCGATGTCCACAGCCTCGAGCGAAGTGGAACAAATGGATGATCACGAGGTGCCGTTGGGCCGTTGGGCCGTTGGGAATCAATGGATTGGTTCAAGGGACTGAGTTAGGGGACAAAATGGGGGAAAAAATGCTGAACAAATGCAGGAAACTCTGAGCCCATCCAAGATTAAAAAAAGGAGATAAAGAATGATAAAGAGTGTTCTTTTATGTGACTTTATGGTTGCAACAATGTTACAGCCATAGTTTCCTGTAAATTGCCCCTTGGACGAATCCATGGATTGATGGGGCATTGTGAGTTTTTGAACTGTGGTCCTATAATGTTCACGGACAGTGGCATGTCCTGATAGTTTTCAACAAAAGAATTGCAATAGGGTATGATATAAAGTTAAAGAGGTTTTTGTTGTTGCTGGCGATGGTGATTTTTATGATGACGGCGAGAAATATGATGATGACCACTATCATCGTCATTGCAACTTAATGTACAGTAATATACAGCCATCATATTAGACCCTTGTTGTCAAATCTAGTTGTTCTTGGCCTTAACCATCATCATCATCATCACCACCATCACCACCATCATCACCATCATCACCATCATCATCACCACCACCAAAGGTTATTTCTCTTGTACCTTTATATCACCCAAGAATTGAATCAATGGATTGGATCTTTCAGACATTTTTGATGTATTTGTTTGGTGCCCCAGCTGGGCCAGGAATTAGAATCGAATGCCTCGGGCGCAGAGGGATCTCCAGCGGCAATGGCAATCCCAGGTACTGAGAGCTGGGTACAGTTCTGAGTTCGATAAAGAGTTGGGACATATATCTATATATATATATATTTGATATTATATCATATTATATTATAGTTTATTATATATTATAGTTTATTATATAATATTATTTTAATTTTATACTATAGTGTATTCCAGTTATAATACATTATTTTATTTTGATATTTGTTTTATTGTATTTTTATTTTTTAAAGTTTTATTTTAATATATCAATATATATATATATTACTATATATTATTTTATATTATTATTTATTATTATACATTACTATATAATAATATATTATTATATTATTATATATCATTATATATTATTATTTAGTAATATATATTATTTTATATTCATATTATACTATATTATTTTAATATGTGATCATATATTTTGATATACTATACTATATTATATGTTGCTATACTACATTATATATTCTATTATATTATATTATGTGTATATACACGTTTGGGATTGTAGGAAACATTTTCGGGATCTAATTTGGGATGTAATTTTGGGAGGTATCTCTAGGTTCAATATTTGGGATCTAATTTGGATATGTTTAAGCAAAGCTTGGGGAGTACCCGTATCCACAGACCTGGAGTTCAGCCGCTAGTATGGGGAGTTTGCATGATGTGGGTATTGGAAAAGACCTACAGGATCCATAACAAATCGTTTTGGTGCAAAAGTTTAGGGTACCAGGCCAGGTCGATCGCTTTGATTTATTTTTGGGGAAACTATGAAACATGGCAATTGGCAACAATGATATTAAGATCAGGTTTGTAGACGTTGGGCGGTTGCCCACCTTTCATTAGGGGATGGGGATGGGGGGGCGTGAAAGGGGGGGGTGACACCATTTGACCGTCCTCTGGCATTTGATGCTACGCTGTAACTTGCTCTCGTACTTGATTCATGGTATGGCGAGGTGGTGTGGGCTAGGGGATATATATAATAGCATTCATTGACTTTCCTTTTGCACTTGATACTGCGCTTTAACTTGTGCCACGCTGGGACTTCAATTAGTGCTACTCTTCAACTTCCTCTTGCAATTGATGCTACGGTGCTTATTCTTGTGCCGTGCTTCAATGATTCGACCTGCTCTACGCTTCAACTTGCGCCACGCTATAACTTGCGCTGTGCCGCTATGCTTCAACTTCCTCTTGAATGTGATATGGCGCTTTACCTTGCGAAACTGCCCATGAGGATGGGCCATTAGCGTGTCATTACTGCCCATTTAGGTTTGGATGCCAGTGTGGATACAGGCACATGCAGAAAATGTTGGACCAAATATGTCCGCAGAGATGGTTTGTGGACCACATGATGCCCTGTAAGGGGGGTTATGAAAGTTTCAAAGGACACACCAAATATCATTTGAGGACTCAAAAGAAAAAGGAATATATAAGCTTACAAAAGAAGACGGTTTTGAACAAATGGCAAGGCAATGTGGCGAAACACAGATTTTTCACATAGCAGCAGTTATGATTGAATTGTTGACGTCTTGGCATTATGACATGAAGGAATGCCAGACCATTGATGGTTGGGCCAACCCTGCCGTCAACCCAACACGTTGGTGGTTTTGTGCATGTGTGTTTATGGGAATCAGTAGGGGTCCAAACCATACAATGCGTGCACATGCCCTAGAGAAGTTTTGGAGCAAAAGGGCCTTGCCACTAGTTGCTTCATTAGATTGCTTGGAAAGTCACCAGTAAATCCCCACACCTGATGGGACAGTATATGATGTCCTGTCAGTGTTTTATGCTTTTCCATTCAACCAACCTTTTGGTTGCTGGTTTTCTGGTTGCCAGGTGATATGTCTATGATTGCTCGGAGTTGGGACTCTGCGTTTGCCCGCCAGAGTTTTGACGGGGAAGGAGGAACCCCAAAAATTGATGGTTGAGAAAACTATGCCGATGTTTAACTGTTTCCTTCTAAAATCGCCACACATACGATCAAGGATTTTCAGTCAGGTCCATATTAGCTCCGATAAGAATGTTTTTGATCCAGTTTGGAACCTTTTTCTGGTGAATAGCTAGGATGTTTTGCTCCGTTTCTTGACAGTTTGCGTGAGCTGCTTCACAGCGTCCCACGCCTGGCTTGGAGACTCAGGGATGGATCCAACCCTATATATGCTTGAAAATATGTTTTGAAGAGTTCCTCAAGCAAGTTTCCAAGTTTCACAAGGGATTCACGCGTGTATCCGGCAAAAACGGGGATTCAATCGATTCAATCAACAACTTGATGAGAGTTTATTGATAAATATGATGGCTCACTTGATTTATAACTAGTTTGCAAAATCCAAGTTGACCATGGCCCATACATGTTAATTTTGAATAATTTTGTTTCCCTTACTTGGGAAGACGATCGGCTCCGACTATGTTTGAAATGTGCTGAAATCATCAAGCCGTCCCCATTGGTTAATCGAGAAATGGGGAATACGTTTCAAATTGGAATAGCCTCCTGCAAACGGTACGCCGCAATTAACGAATCCACCACTAAAGTCACTAAAGCAAGGTTCGTAACGGGAGGTGGTTTTTGTCAGAGCCCATGTGCCTGTGGCTCAGGCCCGAGATGGGAAAGGAGCACCCCTTTTGGCGCAACATATCAATTCCATGGACATGCAAGGTGCCTGTCCCAATGGCGCAGTGTCAGATTGCAGGTCTTAAATTGATTTCAATGTCCCAGCTAGACATAGCAAACGGGGCGTATACCTCTGATACCCTTTGATAATCTGATTGGTTCATCAGTGGATTTTGCCCAGCATTTCTCGTATTACTGTGGGGACAGAAGGGGATGCATCCAGCGTGGTCTTTGAAGAGAGAACTGGGTCAAACTGTATTACGTTGGCCGGAATCCAATTAAGATGAATGTTGTCCTTGCACCCTGCATTGGTTGGTGTCCTCTACTCTAATCATGTCATACTTATCAGCCATTTTGCTAAAGGGTATCGATAAAGTATGACCTTCTTTGAACCCGCGCGTCGCAGCTGTTTTCCTTCTCTTCAATGGCATTCAACAGTCTTCTCGGGCAATCTTGCTATCCTGATGTGATATCAAACACTAGCCGCGAAACAAATGCCATGAGTCACGAAAGGAGAAGTTGCTGTCTTAGGCTGTTTTACATGTTTGCTCAGCATACTTCGGCAAAGCAAGGGGCCTTTTATCCCTGCAACTTCCTAGTGACCAACTTCTTGTTCTTCCGTACATTGAAAGATATTATATGTGAAAGAGTTCAGCACTGCAACATTTGCAGATATTTGAGGGTATTGCCATGTGTGCCATAGATCTTGAGAAAGGCAATGTGAAGCACGTTGGGTTCATCTTCATGTAAGACACAGAAACGACATGGCAAGATCCAGGGATGGCTCAAGTCATTTCTGGCAGGAAATCTTCAGTGCACTGACCATGCTGGTGCCAAGTTTATATCTGGCTTACCGCTTCGCAAGGGTCGCAGCAGGGGTCCTCCCGCTGCGCTTGCGATACATGAACTGGGCCACCTACCTACACTGCATTGCCAGCTGCATGTACCACTGCCAGTGCGCCTTGAATTCTACCAACAAAGACTTCAACCACTTCAGGAGCCCCTTGCGAACTGCCGACCTGGCAATGATCCATGTTTGCTTGGTGACTTATACTCATGCAGTGTCTGGAGAGTTCTGGATCTTTGACCTCATTGCATTGGCCTTGAATTTTGGCTCTGCCAGTCTCTTCGTTTATCGGCAGTTGTATTCCAAGCCAGGTAGCAAAGCGGATTCTTTTCGTGCGGTGGGTGGCATTAGCTTGTATCTGGGAGCAATGCTATGGCGGAGAGATCTATGGAACTTCCTTGGTGTTTTCTGTTCCTATGCCGTTGGTGGTATCTTTTACCACAAGAATGATGCTTTGGGCAAATGGGGTCATGGATTCTTCCACTTAGCCTTGGTCCCATGCACACACTATGTTCTCAAAAGTTCAGTGGCAGCGTTGGGTGATGCTTGCCCAGCCCTGTTCTGACGAAAGCTATGGGGGCAAAAAAGGGCTGCCGTGTTCAATTCTCAACGCCGTAACGTGTGCTTGACAAGACTGTAGGTGTAGAAAAGGCTTGCCACTTATGTATGCCTCGCTTTTTTGTGTAATGTAAGCTTACTAGTAGCTCATTGTCATGTGCTTGGGCAGATTTGAAAGTGACGTAGGCAACTAGAGTGGCTTAAAGGCTCGGATTGTTTGTTTTTGGGCGAGGCCTCACTTTGTTGGTGGCGGCCTTGCGCCCACAACTTGCTGAACTCTCTTGTGATGCAGCTGGTACTGGAATCCTGGCATGGTATGAGTATAAACTGAGCAACACGGGGTGTTCAATTTTTGTTGCAAAGACATGTGACTCATACTGTGATCTTCGAAAACCAGGCAGCCATAACTGCAAGACAGTTATATGAAAGATCCCCTTGTCAGCCCCCTCCACCAATTTTGTCCAATGGCCCACCAACAAATATCCCAAATTTGGGTTATCAATTGGGATGTCCTCACTCATCGCTCTGACCCAGGAGTGGTGCAGCAGATCTTTCGGAGCTGTTGTGAGCTGCCAGCCCAGCGCATCCAATTGGTTGAAGGCTTGCAGGGCTCTATCCAAAAGTTGACCAAGGACGGCCCCAGCATAGGGATCCAAGAATTTACTGGGGAAGGGGCGTGCATTTGCTGTTCCGATCATCATTTCAAGGCAGAGACTTTTGACTTACAAGGACTGAAACGGCACAGTCCACTATGGCCGTGTCAGATAGAACAATGGCCACGGCTCAAAATCATTGACCTCAATAGTTGGATGAATTATCATGACCTCATTGCGGCGTCACTGGAATGATGGTTGGTAAGCTGAATCATCCCCAGGCTATAATTCAGCCAGAATTGGATGATATTTGGATGGCTATTTTCATGTTAGAAAATGCCATTTGTAATGGATGTGGCATGCTGCAAATTGGGCCCACTTCTCCATGGTCACTGGCCAGTCACCCAGGACAAGAACGGCTGCTTGGTCATCCAAGAGGCCTTGGAATCAGCGACCTGGGAGATGCAGATGCCCATCATGACGGAACTCAAGGGCAAGGTGTGCCTGGGCTGCCTTGGTCCTTCTGGCCGAGAAAATTCATAGAAGAAGTATGGAAAAACGATGGAAAACGCTTGATGGTTAAGAAACAGTTTGGGCTATTGGCTATTTTTTGACCAATCCATTTAGCTAGCTGATGTCTGTGACCCAATCTCTATCCGCCATAGGTATCATAGGTTATTGCTTCTCGATTGCCGATCCTCAACACATCTCAACACATCTCAACACATCTCAACACATTTGGTAAAGGGAAGAAAAACATGTTCAACTAAAAAAAACATTTCTTTGATGGTGCAAACAATGGTTTCCAACAAATTTACCGACAAATCCATATCCCAATGGCCCCTGGTGGATTGGTTGTCCCAAGGTTCTACTGCAGCCGCCACATGCATGGCAACTTCGTTATGCAGAAGGTGATTCAAATGCTGCCACCGAATTCTTTGGGTTTCATGATCTATGAGCTGAAGGAAGGGGGCTGAATGTGGCTGATTTGCGGAAACCAGCTGAAGCTTTTACTGTATCATCTGTATCTTAAAGTCATCGCTAAGATTTGAAATGGGATATAGAAGGTCATGGAGTCATGGACTTTAATAAGGGTAGTGTGCAGCTCCAGTGATAAGAACAGGCTTAACATCTGTTGCGGTTAGGAGAATGCAGTGGCAGCGGCATTGCACATCTATGCTTGTCGCGTGCTTCAGCGGCTGATTGAATGCTGTGGGGCAGCAACCTCTGACTTGGTGGACATTTTACTGCAGCCAGGCATCCTTGGTGGCTTGAGAAACGGGTTTTCGCCGGTTTTCTTAACGCAGAAATCAATGCAGAAGCCCTAGAAATGCCATAAAACATGATATATCAATACATGCGCCATCCCAAATCGCAGTGGTTTCTCAAATTGGGCATACCCTTTTCTTGGGTGATTCTCGAAGCGGTTGATAGGTGAGGATCTTTATTGTTTTGGATAATCCCGCATTTGTGAGCTTCGAGATGATCTCCTAACTTCAGATGATTTCCTAACATCAAGTCTCACTACATCTCACTACATTTCCGATACATTTCAGAACCCCAAGTCGTAACTCTACACCGCAGAGGTGAACAGCTTCAGCGCTTGGTCAAGGACCCCTACAGCAGCAATGTTTGCATCTCAGAGAATCAAAAGCATGGGGGCACATCACAGTCTGAAAATGTCTGAAAAATGAAGGGAACAACTCCAAATTTGATGTTTGTTCATCAGATTTTCCTCGTCTCAGAGCCATTTTGACGGGTATACCCATCACATTTTCAGACAGACCCCATCGACCACTCTTCGAAATCCCCATCGGTTGAAGAGTGTAGGGGATTCTTCTACCCAATATACTGGAGATTATCATCATCCATGGACTCTGAACCGCAACCAACCAGTACAAAGGGATGACAAAGGGTTTTCAGCACTGCTCTATCACCACTCATAAGTTGTCGTTTGGTGGGTTCAATATCGGCTGATCATTGGGATGCAATTGGTTTGTCATGGGGAAATGAAATGGCTATACAGTACCGGGCAAGCCGGGGCGGAAGTTTTCCAGATTAAAGACCTGTAGATTACAGGGCCAAAAAAAAAAATGTATCTATAGGATGTGTGTAGGCCCACCTGTGCGTTGAACAAACCATCTCTTGACATCTCTGTCGCGAACTCAATCTGCGGGAAAACCACGCAGAATCATTGAAACTTCATGAGTTCCAATACGTTCCGAAAGGGACGTTCCGTCTTAGCATGACAAACACTTTCGTTCATCAGCGATCGTTCAAAAACGCATTTTGTACGAAACTTCTTCCAACAACTGCCAGTTGAAGTTGTGAAACCGAAGCTTTCGAACGAGACTTCCTTCAAAACGAAGCTTTACTTTATTGTGAACATGATTTGTGAGATGGTCGTTTGTTGTGGATGGTTGTTTCTTGGGATAGTGAATTGTCAGACACTGTTTGATCTGGTTGTGGTGATGGTCAGTTGAGAGTTGTGAGTTTTTGGCTGGTACTGTAGTGATGGTGAATGTGTTAGATATTGGTTTGGTGCTAGTGAGTTGCGAGATACTGGTTTGTGGTGTTGCTGGTTTCTGGTGATCGTTGTGCTGACGCTGGTCATTGGTGATTGTGAATGCCGGCGGCGCAGAGGTTTCTAATTTAAGTTTCCTTTAATTGGGGCATGCCCCCAGACTGGGTTTTTACTGGGAACTGTGATGATACGCCTGTGGAGAGGGTTCCAAGAGGTAGCCTTTTTTTTGAGACAAACCCACGGGTCAAATGTTGTTCAAATGGCACGACTGTGGCAGGTGATTCGATCTTTGGTGGTGTGCGGCACTCCAGATCACGTGAAAACGGTTCCTTGGGCTGCGATTGCTGGGGATCCAATGAATCCAATGATCTGATTTGCTTTCCATCAGGATCGATCAGGATGCACAGAAGTTTGGAAACTGATAGCATATGATAGGATATGATAGTATATTATAATATAGTATATTTATATTGTGTGTATATAAATATATAGTTATATAGTTGTATATGTATTGTAAATTGATAACTTTACGTACAACATTGAATGCAAATTTTCCGTCATCCAACTCTTCCACTCATGACACACCTTTCAGTGGCGTCAGGTGATGGAACTCTTCAGCCAGGATGTCATGAAATACTCTCGCAACCGCCATGCAAGCTTGGTCGCTCGCACTGCAGCTCCATCAGCCAACCCATACCATCCTTGTATGCTTTACAGCTATATATGCACGAGGCCCTGCCACCCCCCCTCCCCCCCATGGGATGGGTCCCATATACTGGCCCCATATGAGATCTTCCCCCTCCCCCCCCTATGGTGTGGTGGGGGTGTGGCACTGTCCCCCTCCCTCCCCCCGTGGTGTGGTGGGGGTGTGGTATGGTATGTTGGGTATGTATGGTGTGTATGGTCGGTCTGGTATGGCATGTTTGGAAAGTATGGTATGTTTGGTAGGTATGGTATGTATGGCATGAATGGTTGGTGTTGTATGGATAGTAGGTATGGTATGTTTGATATGACAGTATGTATGGTCTGTATGGTATGTATGCTTACTATGATGGGTATGGAATGTTTCCCATGTAAAGTAGGCATGGTATGTATGGCATGTATGTTTGCTATTGTATGTATGGTAGGTGATTATGTTTCATATGTATGGTATGTGTGGTATGTATGATAGGTATGATAGGTATGGTATGCATGGCATCATTGGAATGTATGATAGGTACGGTATATGTTAAACACATGTAATGTTGTCCGAGTAATTACACAGGTAATAAATAGGAAGTAGATACATAGCACATATATATAATTATATATATATAATATGACTATAGGTAGCACGTAGGTACTTTGAGGGAGCATGTGTGCTACGTAGGTCGCCTAAAAGGTAGCATGTACCTAGTAAATGCGAGGCTGGTAGTCAGAAATGCTGCAAAGACCTAGCAAATACGAAGCTGGACCTCAGAAATGCTGCCAATAGCTTGCAAATAGAAGGGGGTGGTGCTACCTGGGGACCCAGCACGGTCCCCTCCCCCCCTGTGGTGTAGTGGGGGGGTGGCGTGGTATGTTGGGTATGTATGGTGTGTATGGTCGGTCTGGTATGGCATGTTTGGAAAATATGGTATGTATGGTATGTATGGCATGAATGGTTGGTGTTGTATGGATGGCAGGTATGGTATGTAAGTCTGTTGGGTATGGTATGTTTGATATGACAGTATGTATGGTGATCAGATATGTGTACAGTATAGACCATGTTACATGTAGTACATATGTTTGTATATGTGCTGCAGCCATTTTAGTGCTTTTAGCTACCTTCGAGCTAACCGAGTGAAAAGGTGCTGAACAGTGCTCAGGAGTGTTCATCAGATTTAAGAGCCCAATTTCTCTGTTCATGGTAGGCGGAGCTTAGGTTCTGATACCCAGCTGTGAATGTGTAGGTGTCGACGCCGAGCTGTCTCTGCTCTGGCGCGCTCACCTCGTGCCAACTGGAAAAGGTTGACACTCAAGCTCCTGAAAATCAGGAAAATCCAAAGGTACTTCCATAATCTGGGAGTGCATCTCCAACAGTATCCAAGGGTTCTCTTGAATCAGGTCTCAAAGCACCTGAAGAACGACTAAGGATGGCTCAGCAACAGCAGCCACCTCAGCAACCAGGCACTCCACCAGCACCAGCACAAGGACAGACCAACGGTCCCAACATGTCCCAGATGATTATGCAGATGATGGCCCAATTGACTCAGGGTCAGGCGCAGTTGAGCCAGGCAATGACCGAGGCTATGAACCAGCAGCTACAGATCAACAGAAATGTCGAGAGGTCTGTTGAGTACAAAGACAGATCAGAGTTGAAAGGCATACCCAAACCTGATAAGTTCACTGGAGCATCAGTCACTTGGGATAGTTGGTGGTACAAGTTTAAGACTTGGGTTGAAAGTTGCCACAAGAATGCTGTGAAGATTGTGGCGCAAGTTGAATCTCAGTGTGACAAAGAGATCACTGAGTCAGGTCTAGAAGTAGACTTTGATGAAGGCGCCGAGCTTGTTTCAGCTCAGGCTAGACAAGCCCTCATATCATTGACTGAGGGAGAAGCGTTGGAGATTGTCAAGAACACATCTCGTGGTAGCCACTTTGGCCTAGAAGCCATGAGACGACTGTTGTGCAAATATGATCCTCAAAATCCTCAAGCTAATTCAGCCTTGTTGAAAAAAGGTTCTTGATAAGCTTCGAGAAGGGCTTGAGAGTTGGGAGAACTTGAAAAGAAAGTATGAAGACAGGAGGAAGAAACCACTTGAAGATGACATCTGCAGGAGTTGTCTGCAGCAAATGTGTCCCAACAAGCTGCAAGATCATTTGGACTTGCAGGCTTCGAGATTGACCACGTATGACCAGGTGAAAGCTGAAGTTTTGGCCTATCTCGAGAATGTCGAGACCAGGAAAGAAGCAAAATCAGGAGCCGTTCCCATGGATGTGGATTCCCTTGCTAAGGGTAAGGGAAAAGGAAAACATGACAAAGGGAAAGGAAAAGGTAAGTCCAAAGGTAAAGACAAAGGAAAGAGTCAGTTTTCGTCTTGGTCAAACAATTCATACAACAAGGGTTCTTGGAACAATCAGCCTTGGAATCAGCAGTCTTGGTATAAACAAAACACCAATGACTCCAAGAGCAAAGGGAAAGGCAAGAAAGGTCAAGACAAAGGTAAAGGTAAAGGTGATCAAGGTAAAGGTCGCAAAGTTGCCAATGTTGAGTCTGATGCTTGGACTCAAGAGCAACCTGCAGCAGCTGCCACTGGTGATCAACCTGAACCTGAACTCACAGCGCTGTTCACCTTGGAAGACACTATGGCACCAAAGTCTGAGCGCCGTGAAGAGTCTGAACCTCCCAAGGCAAGAAAGTTGGAACCCAAGCGCCATAGAGGAGGACATCACAGGTCTGAAAGACGAAGGGCAGATGAAGCTAGAAAGAAGGCCAACGAGGACAAGATGAAGGAGATGAGCAAAGAAGGAATCCCACAATGGATTCATGACAAGTTCGAGATTTCCTCTGAAGAAACCACTGATGAGTGTGAATTTGCCAACAGACTTGAGAAGCTGAAGACCGATCCTGAAGTTCTCAGCAGGTTGGACAACGTCTTGAAGGAGGCCTATGAGAAGGTTTATGGTGAAATTCCAACATCTGAAGAGGCTGAAGCAGATGAATTACCATACAATCAGGAACCTGCACCAGGCATGGAAGACGTAGTTCATCATTGGGAGACTTCCTCTCGAGAGCTCATGTCATTCAAGGAGTTGCACGAGAAGTCCAAAACTGTTTCCAACAAAGGACATCCCTATGTGAAGTGCCAGGCATGTGGAAAGGCACTGAACTCCATGAGTCTTGCAAGCTTTTGGCAACATGTGGAGAGCAAGAATTGCTACCCTCAACACGCCCTGGAGTTTTGGAAGAAAGAACACTTTCAAGCAAAGGCTGAAAGAGAAGCAAAGGCTGAAGGAGAGGCATCCAAGAAGCGCCCCATGGATGAGGCAGAGGCCAAAGATGAGAAAAAGCGCCAAGAGATCGCCAAGGATGAAGAGAAGAAGAAGAAGCGCAAGCAGCATCTTGAGGAGCACTATGAGCGCTTCAGGCACCAGGGTAAAGATGATTTGAAGCCTGAAGTGAAGAAGATCCCCAAGAGGCCAGAGGAGAAAGAGAAGGAGAGATCAGAGAAGGAGGACGACAAGTCATCCAGCAGGGCACCCATTGAGCTGAAGTCCATATCCCCATCGAGAGCGCCTCAGGACAGCCGGGCTGATTCAGCCCAGGCGTCCAAGGGCAAGGGGATGCTCAGCACAGGTGCCAAGAGATTCTTGGAAAAGGCAGTGCGTGAAGCTGCCAACTTTGTGGAAAGAAAGGCCAGGAAGAAGAAGGAGAAGTCACCTTCTCCCAAGCTCAGGGAGCACTCACCAGGAGGAGGAGTTCGATCAGACTCCAACCTTGACTTCCTGGGAAGTTTGGCATCTCCGGTGGATACCATTGTTTGGGCCACCGTTGACTCAGGGGCTGCAACCAGTTGCCTACCCAAGGAGATGGCACAGTCTTTGGAGTTGGCTATGACGCCTGTGGACGAGAAGCCGTTTACCAATGCATCAGGACAACCAGTCCAGGTGCACGGCATATGCAACCCCATGGTGACAATGGGTGAGAAAGGAGGCCCACAAGTCAAAGGTGTGGGACAGTTCCGGGCAATGGATGTGGCAAAGCCATTGCTATCTGTGTCCAAGCTGGTTGAGAAAGGCTGGACAGTGACCTTCGGCCCCAAAGGATCGTTCCTGCAAAGGGGAGCCAAGAAGGTACCAATCACAATGACTGGAGGAGTCTTCAAAGTAGCCATGGATTTTCATGGGCAGCCCATAGAAGGGTTGAAGGCGTAAGTCCTGTGGAAACCACAGAGAGCGCAGGTAGTGGAGATGATGAACCGGGCAGTAGTAAGCTAGGTTCTCAAGCACTACCAACTGCAGCAGCGCCGACGCAGAGAGAAAAAGAAGAACATTTTGTCAGCCATTATCCTTTTAGGAGTTGGTGTGAACATTGCATTAGAGGCAAAGCAAAGGCAATGAGACATGTCAAAGTAGATCATTCAGATGAAACAGTTCCTGTGATCTCAGCTGACTATTGTTTCATGAATTCAGTGGATGACACTGTCATCACAGAAGAAGTGCAGAAAAAGCATGCACCAGTTTTGATAGTACATGATCGATGGTCCAAGTTGACCTACGCACACGTTTTGCCATACAAGGGAGTTACCCAAGGTCCTATTGGATCTAAGTGTCTTTTGAATGACCTTAAGAAGTTTGGGTACCCCAAGATGGTCATGAGGTATGACCCAGAGCCTGCACTCAACTCCGTAGTTGAGGCAGCCAAGAATGGTTTTGACAAACAGTTGGTTTTGGAAAAAGTTCCCAAAGGAGTCTCAGAATCCAAAGGGGAAATTGAAAGAGCAGTTCAAGCTATTGAATCTCAATCCAGGACACTCAGAAGTGCCTTGGAGACAAGCTATGGAAGAAAGGTGCCAGACGACCACCCAGTTTTGACATGGTTGGTTGAACATGCTAGCACCACTTACAATTTGTTTCACAGATCATTAGAAGTCAAAGATGGGAAGACACCGTACTCGAGACACCGCGGTCGTGAGTGGA